AAATGTGTATCCAAGTGTCTGAGAGCAGGGGCAGAGGAAGAATTTTTTATTGCTGTCAAATTCCATCCTTCCACTCGGCTCCTACAGACCAACAGTGACAGCACCAATGATTATATTAGCGATAACTAAACTTTTTGTGCAGGACCTGAAAATTTAATTTCCTTGTGGGAAGCGGTAGAGAACTAAGCTTATTTGGGGCCAAGAACTCATGAACTTTCCCAGAAAAGGAAGAGAGAACAGCAGATATAGCCACTGGCCTCTGATTTTTCTTGAAAAATAAAAAGGCACAAGCTCATGTTTAAATGCCCCCTTTGGAAACAGCTCCAGATTCTTTTTTCTCTGTACGTAACCCACATCAGAGTGGGTAGGAAGACATAGCAGCCCTTAAAAAACCACTAAATTGATTCCAATTTATTCCGGATTTGTGATTTTTTTTTCTTTTTCATTTAAAGAAGTATACTTCCATCATTTTTTTTTCCTTCTCAAGTTGCGTGGATGGTCAAAACCCTGATAATATGCACTGCATGTTCACCATGTACTAGGAACTGTTTTAACAGTGTTTGCATGCTTTATCTCAGCTAATGTTTCCACTTTGAAGATCAGGAATCTGAGGCACAGAGAACATAGGTAACCTGCCTAGGGTCACACAGACAAAAACTGGCAGAACTGGGATTCAAACCCAAGCAATGTAGCTGCAATGCTCAAGATCTTAACCATGGCACTATATAGCCTGATAATTCTGGAACTCTCCTCCTGGTGTCTGAGTATATGAGTTCTTGGAATACAAGCAACAAATGCCACCTCTGCTTAACTTAAGCCAAAAAGAAAGAAAGAAAGTGGAAGGAGAGGAACGGCACATGATCCACGGTTTCGAGAGACAAAATCCCAGGAGAGCCTGCTTGCCACCATCTTAGTCGAAGCTCATCCATTGAGAAGGGTTGTGCTGGGGACCTAAGCTAACCATCCCAGGCTGCTTGTGAGGAAATGGAGGCTGTACCACCAAACCAAGAGGATATGGATACAAAGCAGGAGAAAATGAGGCACATACATGCTACCATGTCTCCAAGAAAGGAACAGATCCGAATGGAAGCTGATTAATTTGAGGTTGAATTCTGACGTAAACTTGGTACCAAGAGATTGACATTCAGGTATTTTTTAAATGATAAAGTGATCCACCCTTAGAATTTATCCATTCGCTCAATCGTGAACGTCCTTTCACTAAATAGTCCTTATTGTATCCAAGTAGGGCACTGGGAGATTCACCGTTCCCAAAGGGCTCCCAAAGAATGTTCATGTGGGGACATCAGACATGCGCCCATTTGTGTTCCAAGCTCCATTACACATCACCGACAATTGACGCAGGGGTAGGTTCTCAGCGTACAGCAATGACAAGTCAGACACAGTCCTTACACTCCATGAGGCATATGCGCTGCATGCCTGATCTTTCAGGAGATATGACAGACTGGGATGAGCATTATGATGAGGCAGTGAAGTGGCCTGGGAAGGCATAGAGCAGAGGAATGCAACTTGGAACATGCTGGATAGTTTCCATTTGCCACTCCCAGATCTACTTTCCACCTCTTTCTATCCTTTTTTGCACCCCCAGGAGGATCACACTTATGCATCCGAAACAGGGTCTTTTGTCCACTGGCCCCCAGCTAGATTCAACCAGTGGAGGCACTGGCAGGAGACTGGAGAACAGAGGGAGAACAAGGTGGAGGCATTTATTTGCCTAGTTCCCTCCCTCAAAGGTGGCTGTAGGTTGGCTGCCTCCCTCTGCATGAGGCTACAGGTCCCAGCAGGTTCCCTGACCTACATTCCTACAGCTACCACCACCTTCTCCTGGCCCCAGTAACTGCTCCCTCCCCAGCCTGTTCTAGCTTAGCAGGGGGAATGGCTGCCGGGCCTTCTTAGCTCCTACTTTCCCCGTCAGATTCCCTTAATTCTGCCCACACTTTTGGGAAAGCTCCTTTATTTACTCTGAGTGAGCCACATTTTGTAGAGGGGGAAGTAAGGTTTACCTAGGAAGTGACATAAAAGTGGATACGAACAATTGAAGCAACAATAGCAGATGATAATACATTTATATTAGGCGACCTGCAGAGCAGTTAGTCCCAAAAGCAACTACCATGTGGGTTCTGTCAAAGACCTTTTATTCTTAGATGTACTAATTCAATATTGTAAATGATATGGCACAATTCGTGGGGAGATGCCAGAGATATACCCAGAGTTAATGCGATTAACCCCCCTACATGAGCACCGTGGGATGTCTGCCACCCACACAGCCAAGGTATGCTCCTTCTGGTGTCTCCTGCCCCCAACCGCAGCTGACTGAACCACAGGTAGGCAGACACCAGGTCTAAGCTGGGGCAATGAGTTACCCCTTCTTTGGGGACTGAGGCTCAAGAATGTTCCTCCTTCTCTGCCGGCCAATTCTGAGAATAAGCAGAATAAGCTGCTGCACATTTGTTTGCCATCACTGCACACAAACGTGCAGCAGCAGTCCATTGAGCATGAAGGATCCTCGCTTATTTGTGTGTTTTTAACTCAGGCTCCTGGCAGAAGGCAATTACAATATTTCTTGAAGGGGCAGCTTTTCTAATGGGTACAATTGGGCTGTGGGCAACTGGACAATGGGGAGGGCTGGGTATCCTCATGTCACACGTCCACCAATGCAGTGAACGCCAGTCCAGAGAGAGAAGAGGCAAGGCAGACATTCAGAAGAGCCAGAGACTAGAGACTGTGGCACCTGAAGACGTGAGAAACTGTGAGAGCACGTCCCCCAGGTGCCTGTGCCACTTAGGTCCAATCAGCCATTTCCACCCCTGGCTTCCACAAGCTGCCCCTTACAATCAGTTCCCATAATTTGCTGAGTGAGCTTGAGCAACTTTCTGATACTTGTCTACAGGGATAACATTTCTAAGCTATTAACCAATGTGCTCTTTATTCTAGAATTTCCTTATACCCCTGGGCTGTTCCCCCTTTTTGTGTTTAGTCCAGCAGTCTGCCTTCATTCCCTGAAGGAATAGCTGACATAAGAGAAAGGGGGGGGGGTAAAAAAGAAGTTAATGATTAACTTTGAGCTTCAAGGGCTTACGCACAGGCAAATAGGATGGCCACATGCACAAACCACGTATCTCAGAGAATACAAGTGGAGTAAAGGTAAGGCGTCCTATTCCCAGAATAGAAAGATGTCCCTAGGCTGGAGATAAGGGAGCAGGGAGAATAGAGATCAATTAGGACCTAATTTGTAGGACTCAAGGACAAGGTGGAAAAGTGTGTAGAGATGGCTCAGGCTCTGCTTGAGTCAGCGCTGTCCTTTCATATTGCCCAAGAGCTATGCAGAGAACTGTAGACGCCCAGGGTCCATTCCAGTAGGCACCATATGTTTCCTGAGCTAAAGCACCTGGGAAAATCCCCCACTGACTGCAGAAGTGATGTCCATCAGACTCTGATACTTTCTTCAGTCCACTCTGACCCACCTGCCCTCTGTGGCACCACAGACCATCCAGTGACTGTCTCAGCAGGCACCGTACATAGTATCGCCGGAGTAGGAGAATCAAGGGATGTGACCACTTAGAGAACTCATAGTTCTCTAAGTTCAGCAAGAAATGAGACTTGATAAAAAAATATCATTTTATCTTTGTGGGCAAGCTGATAAAATGAAGGTGAGATGGCAGCACATTTGGGGGAATTGGGAACCATCTGAACAACCAATGAGGCAGAAGCTTGATTATGCCAGGATCTACTTTGAAAGCAGTCTCTGTCCTCAGCTCTGTCCTTTGTCCTCATCTCTGTCCTTCTCAGGTGGCAGCTAATCAAAGTACAGGCCATTTCCTGACTCAGCAGAAAGAGAGTCATGATCCACAGCAAGGTCTGCCACGGCTGGGACATGGCACCCGGCACACGCTCCTGGCATTTGCATTCTCTGCCCTCTACCATAGCATCCCTGCCACACCTCCTTTCTTCCTGCGCACAGACCACCCGGAAGTCAGTCTATGGCTTACTTTTTGTGTTGCAGGTACCAGTAAGCCACCCAAACAGACTTCAAGAAAAAAGGAAAGGTCTATTAAAAGGATACAGGGTGTCTCCAAGAACCCAGGAGAGGAGTTCATCTGGATGCTTTCCTAGGCTGCTACCACGATGAGCAAAATCTAATAAGCTAGACGATTCTGTGGTTGGATTTTTAAAAACTCCAACTGCACCAATCCTAGAAGGGAAGGAATGCAGCTTGATGCTAGCACATGTGACAAAAACACTTAGGATTTTGACTGCCAGCTCAGAATGAGTCAACAATGTGATATGACTGCCAAAAAAGCCAGTGTAATCTTGGGCTGCACTAAACAGACAGGAGTGATGGTGCGGCCTTCAGTTCAGAGAATCATGTATCAAGGCCCACTGAACAGAGAAGGGCGGCCAAGGAGAACTCAGAATCACGCCCTGTGGGGGAAAAAAATGGGAGTACCTGGGATATTGCTGTCTGGCCTTCTTTTCGGGGATTGGTGGGACTGTTCTGGACTTGAGCTTGCCAGTTAGGAGTCTAGGGTTAGACTGCCTGAATTGAAACCCAACCCAGCTACTTACTAGGTTTTTCCTACATGCCAAGAATGAAATAGTTATTCTCATCACTACCTTCTGAACAAACACCATCTTCATCCCTATCATACAGATGAGAAAACTGAGGCACAGAGAGGTTCAGTAGTTTGCCAAAGGTCACACCGCAAGCAAATTGAAGAACTAGGCTTTGAATGCAAGGAGAGTATACTTTCTTTGTTCTTCCCCTAAGCAGCTATATGACCTTGAATCTTGTCACTTCCAACTATGTTGCAGTTAGCCCTAGGGCTACATGACCAAGCACCCGAAAACATAAAGGCTTCAAGCAAAAACACTTATTTGTTCACAAATCTGCAATCTTGGCAGGACTTGGTGGGGACAGCTCATCTCTGCTCTACTGGCATTAGCTGGGTTGGCTCAAAGGTGGGGTTGGAAGCCTCATTCACCTTTCATTTGGTACCAAACATCTGGAGGCTGGAACAGCAGAGGATCCTTGGACATCAGTCTCTGCAGAGTCTCCCTACATGCTCTCTCCAGCATAGCACCTGCAGGGCAACCAGACATTTCACATGTTGGCTTGTGGCTCCCTGGGCATACATCCTGAGACAAATGACAGAGCCAGGTAGATGCTTTCATGTCCTAGCCTCAGAAGTCACATCGTATGACTTCTCCCATATCCTCAGCACCATGGGAATAACTACAGTGCTTGCTTGCGAGGATGAATTGAGACAATGCAGGTAAAATGCCTAGCACATTGTCTGGAAGCTGGTGAGGATTCTATAAATTCAGCTGTTGTTATTTTAAAAGTGGCTCAAAAAAGACATCTTAAAAAGACAAATCTGCTACTACTACCGAAAATATGCATCACGTACCCTTAAGCCCAGCAAATACCTTTTGTACACTGGTATCTTTCCTTGCCTCCATGTAGCCAGATGCTTGCTAGTCTGGGAAGTCACGCCCCACTCTCTTGCCCCATCCCTCTGATAAACAAGGCCAGTGGTTGGAGCTGCCTGGCTTGTGCTTCCCAGGAAGGATACCTTGGCTGACTCAGCTGGGAAGGCATCCAGTGATTCATTAAGTATCAAAATTAATTAAATGTCCTCAGATCTTGGGAAGGGAGCAAATGCCCAGGAGACCCAAGACCCTCTCTTATCCCAGGATCCCAATGGTTCCTCAGAGAGGAAAACATGGACTTGAAGATTAGCTGGGCCTTCATATGAGCGGAGGTGTTAGTCATTCTGGGCACACATACATCTCTAGCATCAGTAAGAAGAGTTGCCAGCTCCTTTCTGAATATTCAAACTCATGGCTATCCCCCCTCCCGCACCCATTTCCATGGCCTCAATTACCATCCAAGCTAATGAGTCCTAAATCCATATCTCCAACTCAGAATTATTTCCGGAGCTTGAGACCTGCCCCACTCAGATTTCCCACAGGGCCCCAAAAGTCAGCATGACCCCTAATGCTGGACTCATCTCCTTCCCCTCACCCAGACCACGATTCTCAGGGAAGATTTCCATGGTGCACCCAGTGGCCCAAACCAGAACTCCAGCTCACCTTGACATTCCCCTGCCCTGCCCCTGAGGAGTGACCCACCACAGTTCCTGTAGTTTCTACCCCCTAATCTCCCTCTGCCAAGAGTTCTCTTAGACAACATCCTCATAGCTTCTGAACCCAACTCTGTCCTTCTACAATTTTCCCCTCCCTGCTGTAAGATCTCTGCAAAGATCAAATGCAAACATGAGCATTGCCACCCTGTGTAGGACTCTTCAGTGACTCCCCCTTGCCTTTCAGACCAAGTCCACGCTTTTTAACATGGTTCCAACGCCTTGCTTGATCCAGTGACTATACATCTGTTACAGGCTGAATTGTGTTCTACAAAATTCATACATTGAAAGCCCCAGCCTCCCGTACGGCAGAACATGACTTATTTGGAGATAGAGTCTTTAACAGGGTAATTAAATTCAAACAAGGTTGTAAGTGGAGGCCCCTAATTCAATATGCCTGATGCCTTCATACAAAAAGAAAATGAGGATACAGACATGCACAGAGGGAAGCCCATGTGAAGACAAAGAGCAAAATGGCAATGACTGCCCCAGGAGAGAGGTCTCAGGAGGAACCAACCTAGCCAACGCCTCGGTCTCGAACTTCCTGCCTCCAGAATGATGAGAACATAAATTTCTGTTGTTTTCACTACCCAGTCAGTGGTACTTTGCTCTGGCAGCCCTAGCATCATTCTCCATCACCTCCCTACATTGCTCTCCCCAAGTTATGAAGCGCTAGCTGTGCGCTACATGCCCTCTCCACTCCAGGCCGCCCCCACTCTCATCTGGACATCTACGCTGTTCCCGCAACTCTTCATCCAGCTAACTCCTTCCTCCAGGAAGCCATCCCTGACCTTTATCTTTAAGTATCTCCTAAAACACCCCCTCCTTCCCCTCTCAGAGCCCTGTGTTATGACTACCCATTTACTCTGTGTCCAGGGGGGACTCCTGCTGTGGGATCCCCTCTGGTGCCCTTTATACCTTACCTTTCTCCAAACAGGATTTCTGTGTGTGTGCCAACATCAGCATCTGGTCCATCTGTGCACTACATGAGGACAGGGACCATGTATCTTGCTCACACCTGTGCCTAGAACAGTGTCTGGTACCTAAAAGGTGCTCAATCAGTTCTTTAGGATGACTGGCAATTAATGAAAATAATTCAAATAATTCAAAATTGATCATATTTAGTATTTTTTAAAAAAAAAAAAAACTAAGTTCAGAAATGTCTTAATAGAGATTCCCAGGGAAGTCCCCTTTTGAGGGCTTAAGTTTACAAAGCAAAGCCACTCTCTCATAAATCTGTGTTTCTTTGGCCACCAGAGACTTTGAAAGAAAGGGAGGTTTATAGGCCCTAAACAGAAGGCAGCTGATTCAGATTTAATTCAGGCACCAAGGCCACGCTTTAACATGTACAACATTCGGGGCTGAAGTCACAGTCTGGGCCCATATCTTTGTTTCAGGAAAACTGAGCCCCAAAACTCCTGGCCATTTCACTGGGAGTTGGGAAAAGGCCCAATTGCTTCAACAGACAGCAAGAAGCCCTGCACCTTACAGGTAACCTGTGGCACAGGGGCACATATTCATTTTGGTCTTTCAAAAAATTGATACATAATGATTGCACATATTTATGGGGTACAATGTGATGTTTTGATACATGTACGCATTGTGTAATCATCAGCTCGGGGTAACTAGTGTACCCGTCCCTGACAGCATCTCTTGTTTCTTTTTAGTGGGGAACATTCAAAATCCTCTCTTCTGGCTATTTTGACATACAAAATACCTTATTGTTGACGTAGAACATTCTGGTCTTCACCCACACTTGCTCCTGGAAGTGCTGCTCCCATCCCCACCTTAGGACAATGGGCCCAAGTTTCTGGGGACAAACCACCTCCCTTACCCCATCAGCTGAGAGTGCACTGACTCTATGAGGAACCAAGGTAAACCACTCTCAGGCCATTTTGGCTCCAAGCATTCTCCGCGGAGATACTGGAGCTTAGCCTGCACTGTACCTCTAGGGAGTGAATCATGGTTGTCTAAATCAAGACCCATTTCTTTAAGAGAAAAAGAACCAAATTCTAGCTCCTTTTGGAGTGAGAATGATGGCCCATTCCAAACAAATCCCACCCACCAGACTCCCAGCTCCTCCCCTGATTCGTTTCCATCTGTGTCACTTGCCCCATCACCTAACTTAGGTGTTTGATTTATGTGCTCATCGGCTGTTGCCCTTCCCTAATGCCCATCATCACCAGCAGAGCGAGAGGCTCTCTGAGGGAAAAAACTCGCTCTGTTCTGTACCCTGCTATTTCCTTGATGCCTGGCACATTCTTTGGTACATAATAGGTTCCCCACGTGTGTCTGCTGAGTGAATAGATATGAATAAATTCATGAATAAATGCACATACTTCCTTCTTTCCTCCACAAACACATGGAGATGAGTCTCCACTCTCATCACTACCTTGGTGACTCCTCTTAATTCCACAGCAGGGAATCCCATCTGGTGCCCTTTATACCTTACCTTTCTCCAAATAGGATTTCTGTGTGTATGCCAACATCAGCATCTGGTCCATCTGTGGATATTGCCTGGGGCCCTATAAATCTCCCTCTAGGGTCAAGGCAGTTTCTGTCCGTAGAATGAAAGCAGCCATGACTTCATTGAGTCTAAAACCCACATAAACAAACTACCAGTGGCCTGGGGTCCCTGTCCCCTGCAGGCAGATGTTCTCAGGTAACAAGAACCTGAGGCCAGGACCTTCGCAGTGGTGGTGTTAGGGATGCTCAGGGTCCATCAGCAACTGCTGCCTCAGGTTGGGCTGGAGGAGAAGTGGTGGCCTGGAGACTCTGAGGGCAGGTGGATGTGGGGCAGCAGGGAGGGTCAGGATCTGGTCTCCTGTGTTGGCTCCACCAGCCCTAGTAAGCCGTTCAGACCTCCTGAGACTCACCTATGACTAGCTGCCTTGTGGGGCCATTAGGAGAAGCTGGGTGGGCTTCACAAGAGCCCCTCTCCTCATCTGTTCCCTGCTCTTTACCCCAAGAGAGGGGAACAGCACTGTGGTGAGCAGCACAGGCCAGGCCTGAATCCTCCATCTGCCACTTGCTCACTACGTGACCTCCCACAGGTTTCTAAGCCAACCTCATGCCTCAATATTGTTTAAGGGTCTGGCACACGGTTGATGAGCAGCAATTATGAAATGTAAAAGGATGCAAGAGAGTAGCCTGATCCCAAGGTGAAACTGAGAAGAAAGCTGGGTGTGGTGCAAAGGTCGATTCTTACTGTTGGTATCTCAGAACTTGAAGATCGTCCTGTCCCCACTATTCTCCCCACTACATTTCAAGGTGCGGGGGGCACATATTGGTGTGTGATCTCTGGTATGGCTGGGCTGCTGGCCTTGGGATTGCCCCCAGAAGCCGCAGATACTAGAGCCTTTCTCTTAGTTGTGACTGAGTTGAGATCCATATGTGCTCTCCACTGTACAGAAGTGGAGTCAGAGAGATGGCAGTTTAAATCCCAGCTCTGCCACTTAGCTGTGTGACCTTGGCCAAATCAGTTACCCTCTCTGTGCCTCATTTTCCTAATGTGTAAAATGCAAATAATGATAGCTAGCACCCCTTATACTCATACGGTGGCACAGTACTGGATACATCCACATCCCCAAAACAAACCCCATGCTCTCCAGTCTCCCTGTCTTTGAATTTGGTGGTTCCTCTAACACTCTCTTCCCTCCTCATCTCTGCCGCCAGAACCCAGACTAATCCTCAGGGGCCTGCTCAAATAACACCACTTCTGGGAAGTGTTTCCAGGTGTTTCTATCCCGTGTGGCCTCCTCTTCCTTCCTGTATCCTGGACATACAACCTTTCTACAGAAGTCACCCAGGCACAGGGTGAATGATACACATACGTTATTCTTAGCCCTCTTCCTGACCATAAGCATTGGAATCAGACCTGGCTTTGACTCCAGCTTTGCTACTTAATAGCGGTGTGACCTCAGCTAGATTACTTAAGTTCTCTGATCCTCAGTTTCCTCATCTGTAAAAAGGACATAATGAAACACCTACCTCATAAGGTTTGTGGCAAGGATTAAGGGAGGTAACACCTATAAAACCTTAGGCACAATGCTTTTAGTACATTATATGCGCTCAATAGGAGTTACTTTCATTGCAATGATTATTAGCACTAAGTAGGAGTTGAGTCTAAAAGGCTTTCACTTGAAATTCATTTCTTAGGGGCCCCCTCCAATGCTCATAGCTTCTAAAATGCACCTCTTGGGGTTAGCGATGGCCCCAGGGAGGGGCAACTGGTGAATTCTCAGTAAAGACTTCGCCGCTCTTTTGGCATCAGAACTTTTGGTTCTTACTGGAAAAGCAGAGAAGAGAAGACAAAGAAACAGAAACCTGAAGGAAATTCCGAGGAGGCCCACATGTTCTCTGTTTAAACCCCAGGACAAGCCTGCAATGTCATCACTGAGGACTTTGAGATTCAGAAGATTTAAGTGACTTACTCAAGGCCACACAACCAGTGGAGACATACCCAGATGGCATCTACTCTAAGGCTCTAAGGAAAGAAGAGGGGGCAGGTGGAGGAAGGAGGGAGAACACGCATCCACCAAGAGCACGCACTCCCATGATATGGCAGAAAAGCAATCCGTGGAAGTGTATGGTCTTATTTATGGGAAATTAATTCAGCATACAACTTCATTATAATACCATTTCTCGAAACATTAACTCCCATCAATGTCGTAAAAGTCTGGGAAGCTACAAAATGTCTTTTTCTAAAACCTCCTATTATCTACAAACATCCACTTTTCAGGCCAACCAAGATTTCCCTTCTCTCCCCTTTGCCCTGTTGGTTTTAAGCCTAGAAAGGTCTGGAGTGGCCCAATGTGTTAATGGGGCTTGAAAAGGTTCTCATTGGCCTGCAAGCCCAGGGGAAAGCAATGCTCACTAACTGCTCGTAAATTAGAGTCTCCCTTTTTGGTTTAAATCCACGGCCATAGATGTATTATCTTCACCAGTCCTAGAAACGACAGTAAAGAATTCTTCTTTCTCTTGTCCGATATCGCCCTCTAGTGATCCAACTCTACTTGAAAAATAGAATGAATCCAGGAAATAGGCAAGTGAGTTACCTGGACCCCCTCACTCCCTCACTGGTTCACCCATTCAGCTGACCAGCCTTCCCGCCCCGCCACTCACTTTCTCATTATTGGTTACGGGCCTATCAGGCACCAATCAACGTGGATGCCGGGATGACCCACGTGTTGAATGTTCACTTGCAGAACCTGAGAGTCTGGAGAAAATGGCCCACATCTGAATCCCAGCTCTGCCTCTTAAAGGCCCAAAGACCCTGGAAGTGGGAGTTAGTTCACCAAGCTGGGCCTGTTTCCTCACCATGGAGTGGTAATACCGACTTCTCCATCTTTAAAATATACTATTACATGCGTATCCTCCTGATCTTTTTTGTTATTTGTACAGATGGGGCGGGGGTCTTACTAGGTTATGATGCCCAGGCTGGTCTCGAACTCCTCAGCTCAAGTGATCCTCCCACGCTGGCCTCCCAAAGTGCTGGAAGTACAGGCATGAACCACTGTACCTAACCTTGTCTTTATTTTCACAACCAGCTCCTGGAGCACACTTAGGTTTTTGTCACAAAGAAAAAGGAGAGAAGCGAATAGGTAAGCTCAGTAGCCTCAGGTTCAAATCCTGGTTCTGCCACTTACCTACCTTGTTACCTTGGAAAGACTACTTAACCCCTCTCTGCCTCTTTTATCCTGTCTGTAAAATGAATACAATCATAGGATTGAGCATGATTTAGGTTTGCAAACTTTGGAGTAAGCAAAAATTCCCTGGGGAGCTTATTAACAGGACAGACCCTCCTTCCCAAATTTAACAATCTGGAAAATCTGAAAATGGCCCTGGACCTCTGAGCAGTTAACAAGCTGCCTAACACTGCACCACAGCCACTGAGCACAAGTGCGACTGAGCCAGTGCACTGGTCCTCAAACTTGGCTGCACATTGAAATCAGCTGGGAAGCTTGAACATGCTGATGTCCCCTCACCCGCCCCCTCTAGATTCCAATATAACTAGTCCAAGGTAAAGTCTGGCATCGGGATTTGTAAGAATTGCTGGGGCAATTCCCCTGTGCAGCCAGGGCTGAAACCCCACTTCCTTAGCCCAATGCCATAAAAGCTTAATAAATGTTAAAAGAAGTCCTACCACAGATCCACATCATGACTCAAACGCTGTGCTTTGATTCAACATCAACAACAAAATAGGAAGCCTCTATCAGGTGCCAGGCACTGGAGATAGAGCCATCATTAAGCCAAAACAAAAAGAAATCCCTGTGCTCAGGGAGATGGCAATAATGCGGCGGGCCAATTTGTCATTTTGTTCTGGGCCCCCAAAATTATGTAGCCATCCCATGAGCTGGGGCTGCACATCACAGATGGCCTTGCAGCTCACAGTAAGAACTCTCTTTCTCTTTGAGATGGGAAGCATAACAACTCCCACAGTTTTCTGTCTTGGAACAAAAGGGGATTTAGAGATGCCACTGTAGCTTTGAGAAAAGTTACTGTCTGATGATAAGATTTCAGGCAGGGAGACCTGGGGGAGAGGAGACATATGTGAAGCCGCAGGACCTGCCCTGACTTACTGCGTCCCTTATGTCTGTCTATTCCCCTCCAAGTAAAGCTGAGCAGGGGATGCACAACCATGGCCAGGAGCTGGTGGCTCCTGTTTCCTCCCCTCCCCCACCTGCTGTCCTGCAGCGTGCAGGCTCCTCTCATCCCAGACTCAGTGGCCAGCTGTAGAGGTGAAAATACTTACTCTTAATCAGGATTTCGGCTTTGCACCTGCTTCCTTAGCTGGAACTGAGGCTAATTCCAAGGCCAGGGATACAGAGGGTAGAAGGGAAACCCTTTTGGATTACTGCAGCTATTCAGCCAACCCCCAGCTGCTCATTAGCACCTATGAATGAGGCCAGGGAAACCTGGTGAAATCTTGTTAAACCTCTGAGGGCCTGGGAGAAGGGCGGACACAGAGACCTCTCCTGGTCATCCAACCAAAAATAAATGCCTCCATCACTCTCTCTCCCCATTATCCTGCATTGTCTTTATTCATGGCACCTATGGTGAGCTGACATTTTACTCTGTATGTGTTCACTTCTAGTGGTCTTCTTAAAGATGGAAGATCGGTTAGGTGAGCTTACAGGACCCTTTCCCACAGAGTCAAGTGGTCTCCTCCATCCCCACCCCGGAAGGGGGAGGGCAGGGATGGAGCCCCCAAATGGGGCATCAAATGAGATCACAAAAGAGCAGCCCTCGCACAGCCGTCAGACTGTCCTGTTGGCCTACAGAGATTTTGTTGCTGCTGTTCGTTTGCTTGGTTTCTGTTTTTCTGCAAATGGCGTGATTCCACATTTAAAACCCAGGACTGGAGATCTCTCTGGAAAAGGGGGATAGTGACGGTGGGTGACGCATCCTCACACAACACCAGCTACTTGTTGCTGAGGTGCTGCTGCCCTTTAACTGGGCTGGGCTCTTCAGGACCCCATCCCCTCTGGGCTGCCCAATTCTTCCCATTTCCTGCCCAGCCCTGAAGGCTTGGATTGCACACCCCTCCCCTCCCTGTCCTGCTGGCTTTGCTCCTCCTCCCATGTCTGCGGGCATCTGTGTCCCCTCCTAGTCGTGGAGCTCAGGTTGTGCTGGGCAGGATAATTTGCCTGGTGGGCGACAGCTTCACCCTCCCCACCAACAGCTGCCAGCCTCCCTGACCTCAGAGCCACAGCCCTGATCAGCCAAGGTCACCTGGGAGTCGCCAGACATCTCTCCTCTGCCACCACACGGTGAGCCAAGGAGTTTATTACTTTCTCTCCTTCCCTATGCAGCTTCTAAGAATTTGGCCATGAGAGTGATTTATTCGGGTCACCAACAGCCCAATAGACATAAACACTCAGCCGTTATTGTCTCTGGTCCCCTCCACCCTTCATTTCCCAACACCCCTCTAAATATTTCATTAAAAATGAAAAGAAAATTTCATTTCTTTTCATTTTTCTCTGCAGCCCCAATCCTGCAGCCCTGCAAATCTACTCAACTATCTCTGGCACGCAGCCTATTCCTTCTTATTATTAATAAGACTGAGAATAATGGATAACAAATAAGACCCTGCTTTCAAAGGGCTCTCGTGCCATCGACCTAGAGCCTCACAAGAACCATACACCGTAAATGGTGACATGCAGAGTGTAAGTGACCTGTCTACGATCAGCAGCTAGTTAGTAGCCGAGCCAAGTCAGGAATCTATTTTAAGTGGTATTATTTATGGCTTATCAGGAAATTATCATTTTAAAAACTAAGCCAGTGAAAAAGACAGTTGAGATTTTAAAGTAGGCCTTTATTACATTTCAAGGGCAAGATTTATTCTCCTTCGTACTGTAATTAAAGTAAATGGAATACAATTTGGTATCATATTTGCCTTTCCAACAACCTTTCAGAGACACCTGCATTGCTCTACAAAAGGAAAGCCATCTGTTCATGCATTCATTGCATTAAATACCCACTCACTCACTCAGTCTACAATGATGTGTTGCCTGCCTACTGTGTGCCAGGCCCTGGGATCAACACAGGGCACACATTGGTGAGCAAAACAGATCAATTCCGGCCCCATGTGCTTAGAATCTAGTGATGAAATCAGGTGTTAAACTAACATGTGCACCAAAAATGTATGACCACAAACAAGCTAAGTGCCAGGAAGGAAAGGCACAGAGGCCCTGGTAGCCTCTAAGAAAGGAATCGTTCTGGTCCAGAAATTCAGGAAGGGCTTCCTGGGGAAGTAGCCATTGCCCCAGGAGACAAGAAGAAATTAACACAGGGAAAAGGACAGGGAAGGGAGAATACAGGGGAGGTAGAATGTGCAGCGCCCCCTAGTGCATGGGCCAAGTAGAGTGCTGTCAGGAACCGAGAGTCGTGGTGGTTTTGGGGAGTATGGTGTGTGACCAGGCAGCACAGGTGGGAGGGGTCAGACTACCCAGTCTTGTGAGCCCAGGTAGGGATCTAGGTCTCTTCCCAGGGAGCAGTATAAAACTGCTCAGAACAGGGATTGACCTGATCGGATTAAATCCACTTACATGCTGGGCATTTGGGGTGCCACAGGGAAAAAAAATGTTTCAACCCTCAAAGAATTTCCTGTCAGATTCCCTGGCATTAATAAAGCTCTGCTCAAAATTAGGTCGGATTTTTCTCAGAAATATAGATATCACTCTTGAGCTAACAATGTTTTTTAAAATACATAAAAGCTAAAATAATAGGCCAGGCACCATGGCTCACGCCTCTAATCTCAGCACTTTGGTAGGCCAAGGTAGGAAGATCACTTGAGGCCAGGAGTTCAAGACCAGCGTGGGCAACATAGTGAGACCCCCATCTCTACTAAAAACAAAAAAATCCACCAGGCATAGTGGTGCATGCCTGTAATTCTAGCTACTCCAGTGGCTGAGGCAGGAGGATTCTTGAGCCCAGGAGGTCAAAGCTACAGCGAACTGTGATCATATCACTGCACTCCAACCTGAATGACAGAGTGAGATCCAGTCTTTATTTAAAATAATAATAATAATAAAAATATTTACTACCTCCTAAGCATTTGCTGCTTTACGTTTTTATTTATTATTTCCTTCAATCCTTGCCTCAAGTTGTGAGCACTGTCACTCCCATTTCATAGATGAGGAAAATGAGGTTCAAGGAGGGATAGTAACTGCCCAAGGTCACACAGCTATGGGGAGATCCAAGGTTCAAACCAAGGACCGTCTGAATGTTGGCTCTGCCATCTCTAGGCTCCATAATCTTGGGAATTTTTGCCCCGAAATTCAAGGACAGCCAATGCGACAGGTATAGAGAATGTGTTCCTCCTGGAATGTCAAAGTCGCCAATGGGCTCCACTTTGCCAAAGCCACTGGCCAGCTCTTTCCTTGTCTTACTTGACCTTCTTAAAACACATTCCTTGTTGATCAGTGCCTGGTTGTCCTCCTACCCACTGCTATTCCTTCTCAGTCTCCTCTGCCCGCTATCCCTTTTCAACTTGACCTTTAATTGTTAAGCTCTACAAAGCTCTGCCCTTGGCTATTTTTCTATTTACAATCCTCTATTTGATCATCTCATCTACCCTAGGACTTTAAACTGGGTCCATAAACTGGTCACAAATCCACACCTCCTTCCCCTACCTCTCCCCTGATCATGTCTCCACACAGTTGTCTAACTGACCCACCAAGTTAACTCTGGATACCCACCACCAAACTCTTTCCTCCCCTTAACAACTCCCTCTCATTAAATGGCACCTCCTTGTACGTTGTGGCTGAGGCCAAAAGTCTAGGTCTTATCCTTGACTCACCTTTTTCCCATATGGCTCAGCTTCACTCCACTGACAAGCCCTGTTGTTTTGCCTTTCCCTCAAACTCTATTCTGAATTCAACCACTTCTTACTACTTCCATAATACCACCTTAGTCCAAGCAGCCATTTCGTCTCATCCTGGACTATTGCAGTTGCCTCCTAACTGGTCTCTCTGCATCCTCCTTTGCCCTCCTACATTCTGTTTTTCAGATAGTAGTCAGAGATTCAGGTGTTCAATTTGTACGCTTAAGAGTATGACCTGGGTCCGAATCTTGCCTCAGTCATGGGGCAAGCCTCTTAGCTGCTTGGTTTCCCCATCCCTCAACCAGGGGTAATGAAATCTATGACAGTATTTTGTGAGCACTAAGTGAGATGGTGTGTATGTCATACTTAATGTAGTTCCTGGCTTGTAGTGAGTGCTCAAATGTGTTATTGCTACATGCTGCTCAGATTTCCTCACAGGAAGCCTTGCTCCATGAACATCAGTTGAAGGTGATGCTGGTCAAAGAATGAAGCAATGCCTAATCCATTGTATGTCAGCTTCCTGATTCCTGTCTGGCCTATGGTGGCCATGGAGCATCACTTCCCACCCCATCTCTGGATGCCTGTTGACAGTCACAGATGTACACACACACTGGCCTACGAGCAGAATTTTGAAATGTGAAGCAAGATTGGATTTGAATAGCAGTTTTCTTTGCTCAAAAAGAAACCACTCCCTGAAACCACTATCCTCCAGACCTAGATGGAAGCCCTGACATTCAGAAGCTCCAGCTCTGAGATAGGGTTTTGCTGTCACAACTTGGAAGAGCCAAAGGTTTGGCCAAGAGAAGAGGTGGATGTGGCCAAGGATAGAATCATGATGTCTGTGCCCTACTGTGGAATTCCCAAATTATGAAAACAAAAAAATCTCATTTTATGGAGACAGGAGACCGAAACATCATAGGCTGGAGAGTGCTTGCCCTCTGGTGAGGAATCACAAGACTGGTCCCTGCATTGCCTTCTCTCCTTCCCTCACCCCTTCCTGGTAAAGTGGGGTGAGGCTGCAAAGTCGGACAGAGATGGGTTCAAGTTCTAGCTCAGCCACTTACTGGCTGTGTGACCTGGGACAACTATGAGCCCTCTTTGAACATTGGCTTATTCACCTATAAACTGAAAAGTAATGGTATTACCTATTTCATAAGGAGCTGTGATCACTGTAGAAATAAAAAGCATCAAATCTAAAAAGGGAGAGGCAATAAAAGATAGCAGTTAAGACTACGGGCTCCGGAGTTTGAATCCAGCTCTTCCACTCACTGGCTGTGCAAGCTTCGATGAGTTACTTGATCTATCTGATTGTCTAATCTGTAAAATGGGGATAGTAATTGCTCCTCTCTCCATGATACATTTTGGGCACTAAAGGTGTTAACACATGTCAAGATCCTTGAACAGTGGCTGACACTTAGAAAGTGTCCACTTGCTTTTATTTCTCCCTGCTTCCTAGAGCCCACAAGTGACTTGCTGTTACAAAGAGCGTGGGTGGAAAGGAAGTCCTGAGATCAGGTAGAAGATAACTCCACTACACACTTCATAATATGAAGGCTCATTGTAATTTTGCTCGATTCCCAGAAAGCTCTGCACCTGTTAGTGAACTAACTCCTGAAAATGAGCCTGCTGGGACCTACATGGAGCAAGTGATTTCACAGAGCTGTAAGGGAAGACGTGCAGATGGACACAGGTTCTGTGCCATTTACTCTTAAGGCTCACTGACCATAACCATGCAAAATGAACTGACTTCAAACAGCATCTGGCCTCTTGCCTCCAGTAGGTTCTCCACTAAACAGCCAAAACAGACTTGGCAGCATTCAGCACTGCCCATCATATTCCTGCTCCTCATAAACCCCAGAGAGAGTCCAAGCCCCTCACCTGGCCTTCAGATTTTCATACAGTCTGCCTCCAGCTCCCTTCCCTGATGCTTTCTCTTCATGAGATGTTCCCTCTGTCTGCTCACCCCAAACACACGCACCACTGCCACTCTGGACTACTCACTGTCCCAAATGTAAACCATGGGTTTATATCTTTATGCTTTTTTCCATTTGGTTTGCTCAGTCTGGGTTGCCCATTGTATTAGTCCATTCTCTCAATCCTGTAAAGAAATACCTAAGACTGGGTAATTTATAAAGAAAAGAGGTTTAATTGGCTCATGGTTCTGCAGGCTGTACAGGAAGCATAGTCACTTCTACTTCTGAGGAGGTCTCAGGAAGCTTCCAATCATGGTGGAAGGCAAAGGAGGAGTGAGGTGTCTCCAATGGTGGGAGTGGGAGCAAGAGAGAGGAAGGAGGTGCTACTCACTTCCAAACCAGATCTCACGAGAGCTCACTCACTATCGCGATGACAGTACCAAGGGAGATGGTACTGAACCATTCATGAAGGACCATGCCCATGATTCAATCACCTCCCACCAGGCCCCCCCCCAACACAGGGAATACTCACTCACCTGTGCACTCAATGCCACTTCATAGGTACAGAGGGTGGTCTCACCATCTGGTGAAAGAGATGCACAGTTAAGATATGGCCGTATGCAAGGACAGGATGTGTCTAGATGCACAGACATTATGTGGGCAAATGCTCCATGGTACTAGACACAGACAATGGATTTTACAAATTCTAGAAGGCTGGGACCACCTGCTATCAGGATCCGGGGCCTCAGAATCAACGAGACCTGGTTCATATCACCCTGTGTTGGTAGGACCCCCAGTCCCTCCCTCCCTGTGTTCTATGATAGTGGTGAAGAGCACAAGTGTCATGTCAGACAGAACTGGGTTTAGAAAAACAAAAAAACAGCTCTGTGACCCTGGGGACATAATTTTATCTGTTTGAGCTTTAATTTCCTTTATCTGTCAAATAGAGTTGATGTTAGAATTGATGTCATAAGTTGTTAGAATTAAATGAGTCACTCTGTATAAAGCACCTAGAATGATGCCAGGCACAGAATTTGTATCCAGTAAGTGGTCACTGCCATAGTGGTTGGAAATACTCTGGCCATTTTTATTCTCCAAATTCCACCTCACATCCAGCCTCTCCATTAGCTGGCACTGTGCAGCATGCATTACTCTCTGTAAGCCTCAGTCATTGAATGACTGCCCAGAGAGACAAGGCAAGGTGAAAACTACATCCAATCTTGTGTTCACAGGGACCAGCCCAGCAGATGCAGGGGTGGATTGGATTTGGTCATTCCTTTATTCATTCATTCACTTATCCACAATTATGTGTTGAGGGACTCTTGCATGTCAGGCCCTGCTCTGGCTCTCGGACCCACAGTCAGCAGCACAGAGATGCTCCCTGCCGTCAAAGAACCCACCTTCCAGAGCAGTGCTCTTCATTAGAAATCCCACGAGCACATATGTGACTATATTTTTCTTGCAGCCGCTTTTCTAATAAGGTGCAAGGAAGCTTAATGATATATTTTATTTAGCCCAGTAAATCCAAAATACAATCATTCTGATACGCCATCAATATTAAAAATTAGTAACTGGATACTTTACATTCTTTTCTGTGCTAGGTCTTCGAAACCCGGTATGTATTTTTTACACACAGCCCATTTCAGTTTAGACTGGCCACAGTTCAGGCACTCAGTAGCCATGTGGCCTCCATCTTAGACAGAGCTGCTCTCGTGTGTGTGTGAGACAGCATCAGCTACTTTTTGAAATTTTTTATTTTAGTCAGTATATTGAAGAGATATCTTCACTTCTATGCTTATTGCAGCATTATGAATAATAGCCAAGTTTTAGAAGCAACCTAAGTGTCCGTTAACAGACGAATGGATAAAGAAAATGTGGTACATATACACAATAGAGAGCCATAAAAAAGAATCAGATCCTGTCACTTCCAACCACATGGACGGAACCAGAGGTCATATATTAACTGAAACAGGCCAAATACAGAAAGACGAACATCAATCACATCACCTCACTTTACTGTGGGAGCTAAGAATGAAAACAATTGAACTCGTGGACATAGAAGTAGAAGGATGGTTACCAGAGGCTGGGAAGGGTAGTTAGTGGGGCTAGTTAATGGGTACAAAAATATAGAAAGAATAAATAGGACCTAGTATTTGCTAGCACCACAGAGTGACTACAGTAAAACATAAAATAAAATTTGTTCATTTAAGGATAACTAAAAGAGTATAATTGGATTATTTGCAACACAAAGGTTAAATGTTTGAGGTGATGAATAGCCCATTTACTCCGATGTGATTGTTACGCATTGCATGCCTGTATCAAAATACCTCGTGTACCCTGTGAATACGTACACCTACAACGTACCCACAGAGATGAACACACTTTGTTCTCCCACATTCCACCCCTGCAAAGCTTTCACTGTTTTTCAAATCAAATCTAGGCAACAGGCAAACCTGGCTTCAGCCCCCAGCTCTGCTAACAATTAGCAGTGAAAATGTGAGCAAGAGCCTTGTTTCGTTTGATTTCCTGAGGCTGCCGTTACAAAGTACCATAAAGGGGTGGGGGTACTTAAAATAACAGAAATTTATTCTCTGACACAAACCAAAAGTCCAAAATCAAGGTGTTGGCAGGGCCATGCTCTCTCTAGAAGCTCATAGAGAGAAACCATTTCGCCCCATTCTCTTAGCTTCCAGTGTTGCCAGAAGTCCTTGGCATTCCTTGGCTTGTAGATTCACCCCTGTGGTCTCTGCCTCCATCATCACAGAGCACTTCAATCTTACCTCTTATTGTGATGTTTTTCTCCCAGAAATGATGGTTTCTGGCATCAGTAAGCAGAGAGAAAAGTGTCATCTCAGGGGCAGGGTGGGAGTGAATGGGAGAGATTTTGTAGACACTCTCCTTGTGTGTCAGCAGATGCTAGCTACTGGAATCCCAGCAAGTCACTTATCAAATATCTGAGTGCTGGATGCTGGGGACAGAGTGATGAACAGGATGTGGTCCATCCAGGTGCTGGCATACAGCATGAAGAGATTGCAGATTCACCTGTGCGTCTGTGTCCTCAGGTGGCATTCTCCTCTCTGTATCTCTTCTGTTCTTAAAGGACAATTATCAGATTAAGGGCCTGCCCTACTCCAGCATGACCTCATCTTAAATTGCATCTTGATTGCATTTGCAAAGACCCTATTTCCAAATGGGGTCACTTTCACAGTTAGCAAGGGTTAGGACTTCAACCTATCTTTTTGGGGTACACAATTCAAGGCACAACACAGGGTTATTGTGAGGATTCAACCATCCACTGTGTGCAAATGCTCTGACATTTCAAAGAGGCTCCTTTTCTAGGCTACTTTGGATTTTCTCTGCCGGCGTCTTGGCCCTATCGCTGACGACGGTCATCTCTGGCAGCTCCCATCGCTCCCAGACTTGCCAGCTTCGGGGTATGTGACTCAAAGTAGAAATGCACAAGAGATGACTCCCCATGGAGCAAGCTTGGCTTTTGGGGGACTCAAAATGGGAAAGAAGCAGAAGAGATGTTTGTCCTCCTGTAGAGCCCTGCTCAGGGGACAGAGGTCCATAAAGGCTCTTTGTGACTGTCCAGCAAGTTGGAGCAACCTACAGGGCTGCTGCAGAGCTGTGGACATAACAATGCATTCCTTCCCGTTACCCTCCTCCTTCACCACCGCACACGCACACCCTTTCCCTCGAATCTTCTTCCCTGAGGTTGCACTCCCTCCTGCCCCCAGTTTGTGCACATGATCCCTCATGTACTTTTCTAGAGTACCTGGACTAAGATATTCATAAAGGGAAGTTCTGTTACCTTTCCAGACTCAGCCGAATGACATCACCTTCACCCCCAGTTCCTTCAGGCTCCCAGAACAGCCTGAACACTTACATCAATGCTTCCTTGCCTGCCTCCCCCACCTGTCTGTGGCCCCTGCCATGAACTGCAATCTCTTCATGCTGTATGCCAGCACCTGGATGGACCACATCCTGTTCATCACTCTGTCCCCAGCATCCAGCACTCAGATATTTGATAAGTGATTTGCTGTGATTCAAGTAGCTAGCATCTGCTGACACACAAGGAGGGTGTCTACAAAATCTCTCCCACTCACTCCCACCCTGCCCCTGAGATGATGCTTTTCTATCTGCTTACTGATGCCGGAAACCATCTTTTCCAGGAAACAAAAATCACAATAAGAGATAAGATTCACTTTGGGAGGCCAAGGTGGGTGGATCATGAGGTCAAGAGATTGAAACCATCCTGCCATCCTGGTCAACATGGTGAAACCCAGTCTCTACTAAAAATACAAAAATTAGCTGGGCATGGTGGCGTGTACCTGTAATCCCAGCTACTCGGGAGGCTGAGGTAGGAGAATTGCTTGAACCCAGGAGGCGAAGGTTGTGTTGAGCCAAGATCATGCCATTGCACTCCAGCCTGGGTAACAAGAGCGAAACTCCGTCTCAAAAAAAAAGAGAGATAAGATTTAAATTCAAATATTGCTAAGAGAGAAAACATAAATCCTTAAATTCCGACTAAGGTATAAATGACTAATAGAATGGTTCTTTTCTGATAGGGGCTGGGGAGTCATGGGGTGGAGGAGGTGAAGGGACAACGCTAGGGCAGAGGTGACTAGCCCAGGGCATTTTATTCTTACATAGAATCAACACCATGCTGCCAGCCAAAGAGACAGCTACCCTCTGGGGGCAATCTGAGGGGTGAAAAGTGCCTCTTCCTCAAGGTAGCTCTACCATTGTTCTGCTGTGGTGCCCCAGTGAAAGAAAGCTCACAAAGCCAGAACACCTGGTTCTCTCACTGGCATTTCCGTCTGCTACTGTGGGATCTTTCGCAAAGCCTTTATTCACCCTCTCAGTTTCTTTAAACATAACAAGATGATGATGACAAAGACACGTTCTCTGGTTTATTTACAGGGTCGTTGGAAAAATCAAATGAAGTCATACATATGAACCTGCCTCCCAGTATGTAAAGTGATTTGCACATATAAGGCATGTATGTATGTATGAATGTATGTATGTATGTATGAATGTATGTATGTATGAATGTATGTATGCATGTATGTATGTATGAATGAATGTGTGTGTATGCATGTATGTATGTATGCATGTATGTATGAATGTATGTATGCATGTATGTGTGAATGAATGTATGTATGCATGCATGTATGTATGAATGTATGCATGTATGTATGGATGGATGGATGGATGTATGAATGTATGTATGCATGTATGGATGGATGGATGGATGTGTGTATGTATGCATGTATGTATGTATGTATGCCTGTATGTATGTATGAATGAATGTATGTATGTATGAATGTATGTATGTGTGTATGCATGTATGTATGAATGTATGTGTGTGTGTGTATGAATGTATGTATGCATGTATGTATGTATGAATGTATGTATCTATTTGAGACATGGTCTCTCTCTGTTGCCCAGGCTGGAGTGCAGTGGTGTGGTCAAAGCTCACTGCAACCTACAACTCCTGGGCTCAAGCAATCATCCTACCTCAGCCTTCCGAGCAGCTGAGACTACAGGTGAGAGCCGCCACACTTGGCTAAGTTTTCTGTATTTTTTGTAGAGACAGGGTCTCACTATGTTTCCCAGGCTGGTCTCCAACTCCTGGGCTCAAGCAAACCTCCCACCTCAGCCTCCCAAAGTGCTGGGATTACAGGTGTGAGCCATTGTGCCCAGCCAAGATAGTTATTAGTTTTCAAACTGTGGTGAGGGTCTTTATTCATAGAAACCTGGAGCTCTCTGGGAGGGGAAAGTCAAGGGGCAGAAATCTAGCTCTCTCTGTGTGCCTCTTAACCACTCACACCCATGGGTGCCATTCTGCCTCTAGGCCTCTGGGGACCAGGAGTCCCTTTGCCCCTCAGGCAAAGGGGAGCTGTCACTATTTCCCTGTGTGCTGTCACTCAAAGCTCCTGTTTCCAGACCCCACAACCCCAGGAGAATTTGAGCTCTAGGCCTTTCTCCCAGAGTCAATGGGCTCCCCCCAAATGACTAAAACTGCCTGAATTGGAAGCTAAGGAGCACTCAGTTCTTACCTCAGCTTTAACTTGATGGGGTATTTGCTAGACGTATGCTTTCCTCTTTGGGGGAAAGTTTTAATGAAGAAATCTGAAAAGTGACGAGGACCACAGTGTAAAACCAGAAAAGCAAAAACCACGGCAGTGTCTCCTCCCAGAGGGTGTTTCTGTTCTCTCCAGGAAGCACCCCCAAATCTAGACTTTTCCTTTCCAACTCTGCATTCCTCCTTGTGCACGGCCATTTCTGCACTTTCAGTGAGTCAAGGCAGTTACAAAGCCTGCCCAGGTTCAAGGGGAGGGAACACAGACCCCCCGCTTCAGTGCAGCTTTATCCCATTATAAAAATGTCCACAGTGTAAGAGCAGCATGAAGGATGGGCTATACGTTGCTGTGGTTATCTTTGGAAAATACTATCTATCACACTGACTCTTTAATGAGGGGGAAGAAATTTTCATTAAAAGCTATTAACTCAGGCTAAAATATAAAACAGAAAATAGTGAATTATTATAAACATTCATACTGCAAGAAAACAGCATTTTTGCCCAAGCATCCTCTTAGAATACATTTTGATAATGATAATAGCAATTTACTAAGAGCTTCCCAGCTATAAAATGTCTCCCCATCATTACCTCCTTTTATCCAGCATCGCTGTGAAACAGGTACATCCACTTCCCAGTTAGGGAGACTGAGGCCCACAGCAGTACCTCACCCTGGCTCACGCATTCGTTAGTGTGAGTTTTGGGGATTCAGCCCAAGGCTTCTGACTCTGATTATGGTTTCCTGTCCATATCTGACAAGCAACCAGTTTGAGTGGCATTTAGGATCCATTTCATGTACTTGGAAACTCAATACAAAATGTCCAGGCGAGTCTTGAACAAGCTGGCTGTGACTTTCCCGCAGTTTGAGTCTGAACAAATCACTTTCCTCTCTGAGTTGCAGTTTCACCAACTGTAAATGCAGAAGATTGCTCTAGAGGAATTGAAACTTTTTCCACCTAAAGAAAAATGTAAGTAATCACACCCTTTCTCCAGGAAAAATCTTATATGAGGATTCCTACTCTATGAAATATCTGTTTCAAAATAGAGCTGCCCTGCCCACTAAATCTAAGCATGCAGCCACCCCGTGACCCTGCAACACCACTCTGGGTATATACCTGACAGAAATGTGTCCATTTGTCCCCAGAAAGGCTGTGCAAGAGTGTTCATAGCAGCGATGTTCATAACACCAAATGATGGAAACAAACTGGATGCCAATTAAAAGCAGAAAAGCTAAATAAATTCTGGTATAGTCACACAACAGAATACTACACAGCAGTGAAAAAGAGTGGACTCCTTCTACATGCAACAACATAGATGAATCTCCTAGACACAATTTTGATCAAAAGAAGTTAGACACAATGAATGCATTCTCTACGATTCCATTTATTTGAGTTCAAAAATAGATAATATGAAAATGGTGGTTCTCTTTGGTTACAGCACTGATGGGAGAGAACAAGAGAGAACTGCTGAGACTTTAGAAAGATTCTTTATCTTGATCTGGGTAGTGGTTACATGGGTGCATAAGTTTACAGAAACTCATCAGGCTTTATTTTATTTATTTTTTGAGATAGGGTCTCTGTCTGTCACCTAGGCTGGAGGGCAGTGGCATAGTCAGAGCTCACTGCAGCCTCAACCTCATGGGTTCAAGTGATCCACCCACCTCAGCCTCCTGAGTAGCTGAGACTACAGACAAAAGCCATCATTCCCAGATAATTTTTCTATTTTTTGTAGAGACAAGGTATCGCCATGTTGCCCAGACTGGTCTTGAACTCCTGAGCTCAAGCCATCCGCCCACCTCAGCTTCCCAAAGTGCTGGGATTGCAGCCTTGCACCAGCGTGCCCAGCCTCATCACACAAATTGAGATTGATGTGCTTTGTTATATATAAGTTGTACCTCAACAACAACAAAAAGGTAAAAAGAGAAATGGAATTACTTTGGTTGCTGTATACCACAAGATCTTGAAGACCCCTCTCCACCCTACTACCTCTATCCACTCATACCCTTGAAGGACTCTAAACTTCCATGGGGTACAGTTTAAAAGACCATCAGACTAGACCATGTCTAAGGAACTCCCAGCCCTGACAGTCTGTGATTCACCTTTGGGGTTCAGATTCAACTGCCTTTCCCTAGAAACCATCTGATATGGTTTGGATCTGTGTCCCCACCAAATCCCATGTGGAATTGTAATCCAGTATTGGAGGTGAGGCTGGTGGGAGGTGATTGATCCCGGGAGCAGCTTCTCATGAGTGGTTTAGCACCATCCCCTTGGTGCTGTTCTCATGGGAGTGAGTTTTCATAAGATCTGGTTGTTTAAAAGTGTGCGTGAGCACCTGCTCCCCTCACTCTTTCTTGCTCCTGCCCCATGAACCACCTCGCCCCACACTTTGCCCTCTGCCATGATTGGAAGCTTCCTGAGGCCTCCTCAGAAAGCAGAAGCTGCTTTGCTTCCTGTACAGCCTGCAGAACTGTGAGCCAATTAAACCTCTTTTCTTTATAAATAACCAAGTCTCCGGTATGCCTTTACGGCAGTACAAGAATGGACTAAGACATCGTCCTACAAGCGACAGCTGTTTCAAATGTCCAAATCCCCACTCTATGGTTACCTTATCTCACCCTGTTCTTATCACCTTCTTCCTCACCCTCTGATGCCCAAAACCCACGCACTGACCCCAGGACCACAGCCTCCTACTCCACCCTCCTTAAGCATCACCATCTGCTCCCAAAGTCCCACAGGGGCCCCTGCAAGCTTACCTCCTAGTGTGAGCACAGGCTCCAGAGTCCACCCACATAGTTTCAGACCCTGGCTCCCCTACTTGTAGCTGGATGAGCTTCTTATCTGTACATTGAGGTTGGCTAATAATAGATTAATTAAGATTAATAAAAGATTAATTAAGCTAGTACCATAGCAAGCACTTCACACAGTGTCTGATGCATCCTAACTGCTCAAGAAGTGTTAGCTAGTATTCTCATCATTGTTATCCGTCCCCGTTCTGTTCTGTTATCACACACTCATGGCCCAAAGAGAGACAGCTTTTTAAAATTTAACAAGGCTAGACGTGGTGACTCACACTTGTAATCCCAGGACTTTAGGAGGCTGGGGTGGAAGGATCACTTCCTGAGCCCAGGAATTTGAGACTAGCCTGGGCAACATAGTGAAACTCCATCTCTATTTACAAGAAAAAATTAGCCAGGCATGGTGACATGCACCTGTAATCCCAGCTACTTGGGAGGCTGAGGTAGGAGGATGGCTTGAGCCCAAGAGGTTGAGGCTACAGTGAGCTCTGACTGTGCCACTGCACTCCAGCCTAGGCAACAGAGTCCCCGTCTCAAAAAATAATAATTATAACAATAATCTAGTAAACTACCACAGCTTTGCTGGACATCCTCCTCACAGCTTTTTTTGAGTAGACTGTGTGTTGTATGCTCAAAGTTGCACAAATAATCAAGGCTGGAGACAAAATTTAAATTTGAGCCTTACTGACTCCAAAGCCTGTTGTCTGAGCCTCCATGCTATTTGCTTAAGAAACTGTGTAATGGAGTTGATGGAGAGGGTACTTAATCTAAAGGAGTGAGCATCTGCTGGGGCCACTGGTGTGATAGAAAGGATTTAGAATCAGACAGATCTGGGTCCAATTTCCGGGCTGCGTGCTTTACCAGCTGCGTGGATTTCCACTAATTGCTTTAACTGCTCCAAGCCTCAGTTAGCTTGCCTGTAAATTGAGACATCATTGTGGAAGGCGTTAAATGAACTTTATAATATAGCCAAAAATTTAAAAAAGCTAACCCTGGGGATTTCCAGCATCAGGTGATGCAGATGAAGAGTGATTTGAGGAAGGGAACATACATTTCATCCATGCTTCACCCAGATCTCCCTCCAGTTCAAAACAGAACCCCTCAACCAAGGACAGCCCCTCTTATGACTGGGGATTTTTTTTAAAAAATCAAATGATGCCAAAGTGCAAAATATTAACTTTGTGGCTCTGGTCTCTCTTCCTCTGTTGTCAGTTTTAAAACAGTTGCTAAAAACTAACATCCCCTTCCACACTATCTTCCTCTTCTTGTTCGTAAGACAGAGCCTACAGGAGAATTCAAGGCAGTTTTGCTTTCAAAGGGCCCATTCTTCTGATTCCCTCTTCCTTCTCAGCCTGAGCTCAACACGACTTTCCCTCCCTACCTCATTCTGCTCTACAGACACAGCTATGCCCCACGTGAGGGCAATTCAGGTGACGCCCTAGACTCTGATTTTACAACTCCCAGTTTGCAGCAAGAAGCAGGCAGCTGAAGTAAATTCTTAGAAGGAATCAGAAGGGGAAAAGAATTTGGCCATCACTGTGGGTTTAAAAATGCCAGAAATTCATATACACCCCATCTAAACATAATCCTTCACAACCTCCGAGAGGTAAGTGAAGCAGTCCTTTTCTCTCGCTCACTTCCACATAACTTGCTGAGGCTACAAAGTCTTTTGGCCACACTCGCTTTGTCGTGTTTAATGTGTTGCCTTTAATAACCCACATAATGAGATTGCACCTCTCCAGGCCCGAATCAAAGTCATCCTGTGAAGTGGGCATCTTCAAGGAACTGGGAAGAGTACAGCCTTCCTGGAAGGGCATTTTGGCTAAGAATTAAGTCTTTAAAAGGCTGATATGCAATAACTACCATTGAACCTAGTTTATCAAGAAGTCTTCCGCTAACCACTGTTTCAAACACAAAACTGCCACCAACTGTGTGTTCTCAAATCCTCTTTAATGGTGCTTGACATCATCTTAATGCAACTCCATTTATTTCCAGTTATGAAGGATTATTCAGTGACGTTTTTGTTTCTGTTGGACTCAGTCCCATGCATTTCAAAGCCTGAAACTTGTTTTCAGGTAATGACTCTCTTTTCCTCCCCACCTCCAAACACATACATAAACCTAGGCTTGAGTTTCTAAGCCACTTAAGGGGGCAGGGAGTGGGGGGTGGAGAGTATGGTCTCTTCTCACCACACCATCTCCTCTGCACATGCCCCGTGGTGTTGGGGCAGGATGGAAGGAGGGAAGGACAAAACGTCTCCTCGTTTAGCTGATCATGATGAGAAGCTGATCCTCTTTATTTCAGTGGTTACTATTTCCTGGATAATGCAGACTGGGCTTTGACTCCTGTGTGGCTCCTTCACGGGACTCATCCATTGTGTTCTTTGCAGAATGTTGTAAGGCCATCCCCTGCATATTCACCTATATGGGTGGCCCGGCTAGGGCTCCAGCTGCTTCCTTTCCTTTTCATCCCCAACCACAGTCTTCCCTATATTTTCCTTCTGCTAGGGGCATCTCATCCAGTGGGCAACCCACTTGGGGCATATTGGCAGAACAGCTCAAGTCCTACTTCCCAAGGTGTTCCCTTGACCAGGAGGAAATACATGTGTCCTTGCTACACCTGAGAAGCCACAGACCCCAATATCCATGTCCTAAGCAGCATCGGGTGCTCCTGCTGGTCCAAGACTCAAACAAACATCAAAGGAAAAATAACAGACCTCAAATTAATGGAGTCGGACACTGGAAGAATAGGAATCCCAACTTATTAAATAATTCTCTTTGGGCCTCTCTCTCTTGACTTTAAGGTAGGAAAATACCCATACCTGCTTTTTCTCTTGCATGGGGAAGTGATGAGAAAAGTCCTATACAAAGGAATTAGTAAATAAATAAATTCTATGGATGTATTCACAGAGTTGATGGATTATTTTAATGGTATGATATGTTAAATGAAAAGAGCAATGTAGCAGATTGTGTTTTCCAACATGGCAGAGACATCACCACCTGTCTCACAGGCTCTCATTAAAATGTGACCTTGATAATCCTCCTATCAAATGATGGAGTCTATGTCACCTCCCCTTGAAGCTGGGTAGATCTTAATGTCTGCCTTAACCACGTACACTGTAGTACTAACATTACGTGACTTCCAAGGCTGACTCATTAAAATGCCATGCACTTTCACCTTGCTCTCTTGAGATGCTCACTCTTCGGACCCAGCCACCATGAAGTGATGAAGCCTAAGGCACCACATGGACAGACCATGAGCAGTTGTTTCAGTGGATGACCCAGCTGACATCTCAGCTGATGACTTACATCAACTGCCAGGCATGTAAGTGATGACTCTCCTAATAATTCTAGCCCTCACCCATGAAGCCATCCCCAACCTCTGCATCTCCCCATCTGAGGCCCCAGACATCACTGAACAGAAACAAGTGATTCCACCATGATCCTCTCAAATCCCTGATCTACAGAATCTGTGGGCATAATAAATTGTTGTTGCTTAACCTTTAAGTTTGGAATTATTTGTTATGCAGTGATAGTAACTGAAACAAACAAGATATCAAATTGTCCACAGAGCATGATCCATGCATTTCATACATAGATAGTAGGGTAAAAAATATTTAACACTGACTGCAGATGCCTCTGTCTTCTAAGAGGAGAAGCACGGTTCATATTAACGAGAAAAATAAATCTCTATCAGACTCTGTTTCATTTACAAAGACTGGTGGAGAGACATGAAGATAATATGAGAATTTCAAAGCCTCCACTTTTTCTTCTTGATTAATGATGAATGAAACTCAGAGTAGATGATCCTTGGTGTGAATGATGTCAATAGTAGGTTTTTAAGGAGGTCTAGGACTGTGTAGGGGCTGTAGAGCTCTTCTAGGATAAGTGAGAGAATTTGAATGTTTTAGGGACAGAGAAGGCAAATGACAAGGTGGAAGGCTGGAATCTTTCAAGAAAAGTGGTCAGTGAGAAAGACACTCCCTACAGCAAGGTTGTTAAGGGACTTTTCAGCAGTGAGATATCTAAGATCTAATTTTATCTCTTTTTTTAATTTGTAAATTTTTTTTCCTTCTAAGGAAAGCAACACTAATATGATCTATTTTAAACTCTTGGCATTTATATGATTTTTAAAAATCCCTCCTGAGTCCCCATACTTTGAGTAAAGTTTGCTAAGTGTGCATTTTTTGGGAGAAGGTCCCGGTGGGAACAAAACACAGATGCCGAGTTTGACACGAAGCTTGGTGCCCTGCACAGGGAGGGCAGGGTGCCATCCCTTCGTGTGAGACCATGGATCCAGAGCTCCTCAGTGGTGGGCACAGAATGCAAGAACTGTGGGGACATGGCTTCCTCTACCCAGATTTCAAAGGATTTCTCAGATAGACTGGAAGCCCAAGCCAGAACTTTTCCTCAGGGGCAGAGTCACTGCAGAGAGCACCCACTAAGGCAATGTCCAGCAGAACTTTGGAGTCAGAGTTGCTGCAGAAAGTCCCTAACAGTCCTAGTGGAGCCATGAGGGTAAGGCCATCCCCAAGACCCCAGAACAGTAGAGCCACCATGATCAGATAACAGCCTGGGAGAGCTGCAGGCATGAGATTTCAACCCATGCCTCTCCCTAAACCCCTGTAAAGCCATAGGGGCAGGGTTGCCTAAGGTATTGGGGGCCCAACCCCCATCCCATTATAGCCAAAGGTAGGACACTGCGTCAAAAAATATTCTTAAGACTTAGGATTCAGTATTATTCACCTTATTGCGTTTTGAATTTGCTTGGGACTTGTTTCTCCCTTCTTCGTTCCCATTTCTTCCGTTTGGAATGGGGATATCTATCTTTTGCCTGTTCAGCTAACGCAGTTTGGAAATATTTTGTTTGGTTTCACAGGCTGACAATTGGAGGGGCTTTAACTCAGGATAAATTGTGCCTTGAGTCTCACCCATATTTAATTTAATTGAGACCCTAAACTTTGAACTTTTAAATTGGTGCTGAAACAGTTAAGACGTTGGGGCTATTGGAATGGAATGGATGTAGTTTGCATATGAAAAGGACATAAGTTTTGGGGACCAGGTTAAGAATGCCATGGTCTAAATGTGCCGTCCAAAATTATCCGTTGGAAACTTAGTCTCCAATACAACAGTATTTGGAGATGAGGCAGAATGAGAGATGATTAGGCCATGAGGGCTCCACCTTCATGAATATATTAATTCCACTATCACAGGAGTGGGTTTGCCATAAAAGGGTAAGTTTGTTTGCTGAGAATTATGGTTTCCACGTTCATCCATGTCCCTAAGAAGGACACAAACTCATCATTTTTGATGGCTGCATAATATTCCATGGTGTATATGTGCCACATTTTCCCTGTCCAGTCTATCATCGATGGGCATTTGGGTTGGTTCCAGATCTTTGCTATTGCAAACTGTGCTGCAATGAACATTCGTGTGCATGTGTCCTTATAGTAGAACGATTTATAATCCTCTGGATATATACTCAGTAATGGGATTGCTGGGTCAAATGGAATTTCTATTTCTAGGTCCTTGAGGAATCACCACACTGTCTTCCACAATGGTTGAACTAATTTACACTCCCACCAACAGTGTAAAAGTGTTCCTATTTCTCCACATCCTCTCCAGCATCTGTTGTCTCCAGATTTTTTAATGATCGCCATTCTAACTGGCGTGAGATGGTATCTCAATGTAGTCTGACACAAGAGCAGAAAATCGAACACCACATGTTCTCACTCCTAGGCAGGTGTTAAACAATGAAAACACATGGACACAGGGAGGGGAGCATCACACAGTGGGGTCTGTTGAGGGCAAATAGGGGAGGGACAGTGGGGGGTCGGGAGTTGGAGAGAGATAGCATGGGGAGAAATGCCAGATATAGGTGATGGGGAGGAAGGCAGCAAATCACACTGCCACGTGTGTACCTATGCAACAATCTCGCATGTTCTTCACATGTACCCCAAAACCTAAATGCAATGAAAAAAAAAGAAATTTTAAAAAAGGGTAAGTTTGGTCCCCTTTTCTCTCCTTCCCTTCCACCTTGGGATGATGCAGCACAAAGGCCCTTGCCAGATGTTGCCCCTCAATCTGGGACTTCCTGACCTCCAGAAAAGAGCCAAAACCTTTCTGTTCATTACAAATACCCACCTCAGGCATTCTGTAACAGCAATAGAAAATGAACTAAGACCGTTTTCAAGGCATGCCACTCTTGATTCTCTTTCCAGATCTGAAATCTCTCAACATTTCAATGTTCCCATCTGTACAATGAAAAGCAAATGATCAGCAAAGTCTCTTCCAGCCCTGATGATTTAGAATGTTTCTCTTTGACATGAGTTCCTTCCTTCAGTCAAATTAATCTACTTACTTTCCTCCCTGTCCCCCACTCCCATCTACATATGAGCCCAAAACATTTGCCTTTGCTTATACCAGTTCTCTACCAATAGTGCTATCATTTCCTCTCTGCTGTTTGAAATACTATGCAACCTTCCATAACCAATAGAATTTCTACTTCCACTCTTCGTCCTCATTTTTTCCCCCTGAAAAAGTTTCCCTTTTATAAATTCTTGGGGCATTGTCTAGTCTAGGGTTTGGTAAACTGTAACCTACAGGCCAAATGCAGGCCATTGGCCCAAACTGTTTGTTTTTATAAGTAAAGTTTTACTGGAACACACCCATGCCAATTAACTTACATATTATCTATGGCCCTTTTTTGCCATAATGGCAGGGTTGAGGGCTTTTAACAGAAAGAGTATTGCGGCAGGCCAGGTCTCCATTAGCAACCAGAGCAGTTAGCCTTCACCATTACCTTATTGTCACTCTGATGAATGTGTAAGTTAAACACTGAAGAACTGGAGAAACTGGTGCCTTAGTACAAAAGTTAGAATGTAAAAACAAGTCCATTAAGACCCCACCGGGGCTTTCTCAGACCTTAGAGTTTAATTAAAATAATGGAGTGTTCTTGCACACCTTGTACCAGCATCTACTTTAGATTAAGTGATTGTTCCAAGCCTCGGAAATAATTTTCCAGACCCCAGGCCCTACATGTAGGCATATGGTTTTAATTTATCTACATGTCAGAGGCATTTAAGCCAGAGCAACTCTATCTTGAATGGGGGCTAGATAAAATAAGTCTAAGGCCTGCTTGGCTGCGTTCCCAGGATGTCGAGGCATTTAGTCACAGGACAAGATATAGGTCATAAAGACCTGGCTGATAAAACAGACTGCAGGAAAGAAGCCAGCCAAAACCCACCAAAACCAAGATGGTGATGTGAGTGGCCTCTGGTCGTCCTCACTGCCACAGTCCCACCAGCAGCACCATGACAGTTTATAGATGGCATGGCAATGTCAGGAAGTTACCCTACATGGTCTAAAATGGGGATATTGAATAATCAATCCATCCTTTGTTTAGCATATCATCAAGAAATAACTATAAAAATTGGCAACCAGCCACCCTCGGGGCTGCTCTACTTGTGGAGTAGCCATTTTTTATTCCTCTACTTTCTTAACAAACTTGCTTTCACTTTATTCCATGGATTCGCCTCAAATTATTTCTTCTGTGAAATCCAAGAACCCTCTCTTGGGGTCTGGATTGGGACCTCCTGGTAACATAAGCGCTGGAGCAAAACTTGTACCTTTGAGTTGGTGTGGTGGGTTACTCGGACCTCCTCCTTGGAACCAGCTGCAGAAATAAACTCCCTTCTTTCCTAGTCTGCCCGCATCTTGTTATTGGACCGTGAGAACAGGCAGTGGGGGCTCGTTCTGTCCGGGAGCAGTGTGACTCATACACTGTTTAAATATTTACTGTCGGGCCCTTAAAAAAAGTTTACTAACCTGTAGCTAATCTATGCTTCTCGAACTTGCATACGACCAGATCCAGGCTGAGATCCAAGCCAGAGACAGCAGAATCCACATGGACAACGTTGTGTATCTTCTTGGAGCATCAATTTTGCTAGAAGACTAGGAAGGAAAAATAGTTAACAGACTCTAAATGTAGACATTTAATAGACATTAAAGTAAACACATTTATATTATGGAGTAGAATCCAACCTTTTGAATGAAACTATGAGTGAAAATTCCAAATGTGACCCAAATTTCAAGCATGGGGAGGTCTCTACACATTGTTGATGTTCCTTTACTCTTACAAATATTTTTGTAAAAAATTTGAGAAAACACCCATGTATGCTATTTAATTTGTGGTGCAAGTGTTGCAGAATTTTGCTCCTTAGTTCAACTAAAACTGGGTTCTTGTCACACAACGAGGAAAGATGACGTGTGCAGACATGCTGAAGGGTGATTAGAGAGGAGTTTATTGGGAAAAAAGAAAAAAAAACCTCAGCAAAGCCAGAGGGGATCCTGCCAGTGGGCTCCCAGCTCACACCACCACACCAGGCTGAACACCAGGCCACCACACAGGAACTGAAGAGGCTGGGCTCCTCCCTCCTGCAAATGGTGGGAATTTTTCATGGCTCCACCCCATTCTCCCAGCGGACAGGCCAGTCAGTCTGATATTCTTCGGGAGACCCCCTTCTATCTGCCTAGGCACTTGGCCATCCCAGAAGTACGTATCTTCTGAGTCTTTGTATTCTCGCCACTTCTGGCACAGTGCTTGACTATAAGAACTCCAGAAGGGCTGGCATTATTTATTAACATAAATCCTAAAAGGTCTTTACCTGTCAGAATGGCTTAGTGGAGTTCTGCATGTAGGCAGAGGGATAAGCCAGATGACTCTGCCTGCAGAGGTCTCATACACTGTGGTTTATTAGTGTCTGTTCTGTCACTATGGCAACAAAAAGTCTCATAAGATCTAGTTAAATTAATATTCACAGTAATGTCATCACTAATATAAAATTCAAATTAGTTCTTCCTGAGCTAAAGGCAGAACCAATCTTTATATGAATGAACTAGTGATAACCTCGTTGTTTTGTTTTTTATTTGCCTTTTTTTCTTTTCCTTTAGTTTAATATAACCGATTTATGTATTTTGTAGGGGAATGGACATATTAGAAAGTTTACCGTGTCCCTGACTCCTGACCCAACCCCTATTACCATCCCACCCTGTATTCCTCACCCCAAAGCATCTCTCTGACTTCTGAGATCTGAACAATCACTATTGCATAAAACAGTGACCCCTGGGTTTTGTTGTCTGTTGTTGTTTATCTTTGTTTTGTTTTTGAATGCAAATGTGCCTAGGGAAGAATCACATGTAAAGTTACCAATCTCTTCTTAAGACTCGGCAGATCGTTTTGGCATTGGTTAAGGGTGGGGTGGAGAAAGGCAGTCCTAGCCTCTGAATCCGAGTTAGATCTGAGGCCAAACCCCAATTCTGCCATTGACTTGCTGAGCTACTCTCCTAATTACTTGCCACTGATGCACCTTCATTTTTCTTTCCTGTAATATAAAAGCTGGAAACTGGGTGTTCTCCAAGAGCTTTCCCAGCTGTAAAATTCTACGGTTCAAGGCAGCATAATTAATGGAGGAATCAAGGACACAACCACATGGATAGAAACTCAAAAAGATTAGTTAAAGAATAATGTGTACTGCATAAAACCACTTTAACTTTTTAATTTAATTTTTGGAATAGGTAGCATAGTCCATCCACATGGACTATCTCAAAAAAAATTAAGAACTACATTCAAAAGTCTTCTTCCATACCTCATCCCACCCCTCTTTCCACATCCCACATGCAAAACTCCTATTAGGTTTTGCATGTAAACTTTCATTTTCTTTATGCACATGCAAACAAAAGTTAATACATAGGCTTATTTTCCTCTTTGTTAGCACCAAAGATAGAATGCTATGTATATTCTTCTGCATCTTGCTTTTTCCCCACTTAATATGTATTTGAAAACTTTCCATATTAGTACAGAGAGTGCCTTCTTTCCATTTTATAACTGCATGGGATTTCATTACAAGGATGCACCATACTTATTCAGTCACTCCCTGTTAATGAATATGTGGACTATTCTAATGTCTAAAGACCTAATGAATATGTAGGTCTTTTTAGTACAAGCAATACTACAATGAATAACCTTGAACACATGGACTTTTGAGCATGTATAAACATATACCTATCTAAAGATAAATTTTAAGAAATGGGATTTCTTTTATAATTTTGTACCTTTACTTTATTATTACTATTATTTACTTAGAGGCAGGTTTTCACTCTGTTGCCCAGGCTGGAGTGCAGCAGATCAATCATAGGTAATTGCAGACTCAAACTCCTGGATTCAATCAATTCTCCCGCCTCAGCCTCCCAACATGCCAGGACTATAGGCATCAGCCACCACACCTAGACTTGTGCATTTGCATTTTTGATATGTATTGTCAAATTGCCCTCTACAGAGATTATACCAGTTTACTCACCTGCAATCAAAGTTTAAGTGTCTCTTTTCCCTCAGCCTCTTCTATACACTGTTACCAAATCTTGGGTATGGACCTATTTGACAGATTTTTGAAATGCTATCTCAATGTGAAGGGGGTTTTTTTAGTGATTTTTTAAATATACAGACAGGGTCTCACTATGTTGCCCAGGCTGGCCTCTAACTCCTGGGCTCAAGCCATCCTCCTGCCTCAGTCTCCTAAGGACCTTGGGCTTTGGGAATTCACCACTGCACCCAGCTTCAATGTGGTTTGAATTTTTATTACTCTTTTTTTTTTATGAATGAGGTAGTGAATCTTTTCTTATGGTTAATAGCCATTTGTATTTTTTTCTCTGTAAATTAATACTTTAAGCTCTTTCCCATATACATAAATTTTTTAAAACATGCATACTTATTGTTTATAGCCATGAACGTGCATGATGAAGGGTGGGAAGGAAACTCTAACCTCAGCTGAGAGGCTGCTGCTGGCAAGGATGGCTGGCAGGTGGGACAGGGCAGAGAGCAGAGACACAAAGGATTATCCATGAGAGGGTAACATTTTTTTTTAAATAAAGCACATGAAGCAAGAAAAAAAATTAAAAAAGAAAGGAAGGGAAGGAGGGAGGAAAAGAGAAGACAGGCTTTAAATTCAGTAAATCTGGGCCTGAATCTCAGCCAAAACACATGCTCTGTGGCCTTTCAAAGCTCTCATAGCCTCTCATTCTCAATTTCCACATCCCTGGGATGTAGAGAATACAATAATGACTAAAGATAATTCATGTAAAACCATGATTAGCACACCATTGTTGCTCAACAGTCATATTACATTGTTAATATTAATTTGATTATTATTCAAATATATATGATACCTCAAGCCAAGAGAATGGTCTGGTGGCTTTTCCTGGCTCAACCACCTGTTTCCTGTTAGGTTTCCCCAGAGGGTGACCTCTTCTTGGTGACAGCACGCCAGCGGTTTCATCCTCTTGACTATTTTCCAAACGTCCTCCCCAGAGCTGCCCCTGTTGGTTTAACCGGCGTGACTGAGAGAAGCAAGGATGTGCTTCGGGTAGGGCTGGGACGAGGAGCTTCCTCTGTGTCACAACCACTGTTTCTAAAAGCTGTGACCTCTGCTAGCTGTGAGATTTTGGCTTCCCGCTGTGGCTACATCTGGAGAACCACATCCATGTTTACCTGCAGCCTGAAACCCCCTGGCTTCAGAGGAAGCCAAAGCCTCTTTCTCCTAGTTCGCATTACCTTGTCAGGCAGCAGGCTTCCCTACCACACCCCCCACCACCCTGCACCCCCCAGGCCTCTTGATGCCTTATATTTTTCCAAAGCCTCAGAGAAGCAGAAAAGTTATTTCTTTGCTGTAAACTCCTTTTATCAGAACCGAAATTATTAGAGCAGTGAAGTTCATACACATCTTCTTCCATCTTTGGATTATTTTCTGAATTGAAACAGTTTCTATTTTTTCATTATTTTGATCCTAAAACATCAGAACACTAGAAGGGAGAGAAGAGAAAAAGGAAGAAAAAGAAACAAAGAGAATGGCCTAGGCAGAAAGAAGGAAAAAGAAATGGGGTTGGAACAGATGGTGTCCTGGCAGGGTCACTTCTTACGCCACGGAGAGTTTAGAAGTGATCTAAAGGCTTACGTCGGACACCACCAGGTCCTTGCTCAGTGGCTAAACCTTTGATCTTGGAGACCAAATAGCTCCTGTGCAGCTAATGCCCAACTATAAGTGAGAGAATGCTGGCTGAGCTTAAAGGAACACCCCCTCTGACCATAACTGGAAACTTCACCAAACCAGCCAAGACAATGTCCTTCAATTACAATTGCAACAATGAACCAATAACCTATCAACCAAATCCTGAAATTTATGGAGAAAGGAAGTACTGTTATTCACGACAGGTGAAATCACTTTATCCTTGGCAGAACTGATCTGAAGGGAAATTGTAAGACACATGAAATTTAACTTCCCTGGCATTTGTATTTCTTCTTTTAATAACCTGGATTTCATGAAACCAGGAAACTCTTCTGTAGCATCCCTCGCAGGCCTGCCAGCACATTTACTGCCGGTGCCTCACCTCTTTCCTTCATCTGATCCCTTTCATTGGCCCCGTTTTCTGGAGCTCTTTGCTGGGAGACAGACAACTGCCTGTTCTGAGAAACCATTCCATTCTAAAACGAAAACGGATGCTGCAGTAGGTAGAATAATAACCCCGCCAGATATATGCATGACCTAATCCCCAGTATCTCTGAATTTGTTACAGCATAGCAAAGGGGACTGTGCAAACAAGATTAAGGTTAAGTACCTTGAGATTATCCCGGTGGACCCAGGACAGCCTAATTCAATTACAGGAGTGCTTAAAAATGGAGACACTTTCCTTAAAAATGAGTCAGAGGTGAGAGGAAAGAAGAGTTTCTGACTTTGAAGATGGAAGAGTTGGCCATGAGTCAAGGAATTTGGGTGGCCTGGAGAAGCTGGAAATGGCCTTCAGTGACAGCCAGCCAGGAAACAACATCTCAGTCCTACAACCAGAGGAAATGAATTTTGCCAACAACCTGAACGTGCAAGGAAACAGATCCTCCCCTAAACCTCAGTAAGGCGCACACCTGCTGACACCTCTATTTCAGCCCAGTGAGACAACGCCAGACCCACATAAGACCCACAGAACTGCAAGAGAATAATGTTGTGTTGTTTGAACTACAATATTTGTGAAAATGTGGATTTTTTTCCTCCTAGCAGCAGAGAACTAATACAGTGCTAACATGAGACTCAGTCAGTAGGGATTTCAGTTAGTTTGTTTTCTAAAGCAACCATTACGGTACAATATAAGGGGAAATATGTGTGCATTTTGGAGAAAGCAAGTTGTTTTGCCACAATTTGTGGTCAGGTGTGTACACATTCACCTGTTCCATAAATATTTCTGGAATGACTAGTGTGTACCAGGCACGTGGCTCCCTGCACATACGCTTCCTTTTTTAGACCATGTCTACATAAGTGGATTCAGTCAGCTAGTAAGTCAATAAATGTTCACTGAGCATCTACTATGTACTAGGTACAAGGACAATCCAATTAGAATTCATTGAATGGTTCTTTAAGCTGTGTAGGATGCCTGGGGAGCCTGAGATTCCAAATTCTGCGAAGGAAGATTGGAACCAGACAGCATTGAAGTCTGTTTTCACAACAGCTATGATATGTTGTCTTCCTTTCATAAATCAGAAAACTGATCCTTAGAGGAACTAATTGACCAAGTCACACCACTAGTAAGTGATGGAGCTGGAATTTTTAAATTAAAAACAAATAACAGGGCTTGGCACAGTGGCTCACGCCTGTAATCCCAGCATTTTGGAAGCCTTTAGTCCAGGAGTTTAAGACCAGTCTAGGCAACTTGGTGAAACCCCATCTCTACAAAAAATACAGAAATTAGTTGGGCATAACATAAACGCACAACACAAAATGTAGCATCTTAGCCATTAGCCACTTTAAGCATACATATAAGTAATGCTAAGTACATTCGCATCATTACGCAACCAGTCTCTGGAACTCTTTGTATCTGGCAAAACTGAAAGTCTGTACTCATTAAACAACTACTCATTCCTCTCTCCCCACAGCCCCACAGCCCCTTCTAACCACCATTCTACTTTCAGTTTCTATGAATTTGACTTTTCTAGGTACTTCGTGTAAGTGAAATCATACAGTATTTGTCTTTTAGTGACTGTCATATCACTTAACACGTGTACATGAATGTTTGGGACTATCCCCATGTAAGGATGAAAGGGAGGGTTCCCCTTGGCCCTCTGAGGATTTACTGAAATATCAACTAGCAAAAGGCAGGTGAATTGGAGAAAAAGGCATACAGAATTATTTAATGTGTATACACAGGGGACTTCAGACTGAAGAACAAGGATACAAGGGAAATTGTTCATTTTCATGCTTGGGTTAAACAAAGTATGAGCAGCCATGTAGAAATAGAATTAGACCAAAAAAAAAAAGAGGTCTAATCTAATTCTAATGCTAAGAGACTGAGCAGGGAAATCCAGCAAGACCTGTTTGTCTAGGTTCTTCTGGGTATGGGGCGGGACCCCTCTCTGGAATGGAGGTCAGACAAGGTAGGTCAGATAATTTCTTTATGGCCAGTTTTTACATAGAAAGGCAGAGGGGAATATTAGACTAATAATTCTAGGTTTTGTGTCTGTCTTTGGGAAAAAGGGGTTCTGGTTCCTAGGACCTACCTTGGGAAAAAGGATTCTAGTTTCTCTGGCTAGCCTTGGGGGAGAATGGAACTGGGAGACAGGAGGGCAGACGTCAGAGAAAATCTTTTGCTTCTGAGGCCTTTATTTTGGGGTATTGTTTTCTGAGCCCCAACACCCACCAGCAGTTGTGCCTGGGGAACAAGATCAGAGAGAGTAGAGAAGAGAGAGATTTTCCATTTTTCCCTTCGTACAGCCTGTATTGTCAGAATGTTTCACTATTAGCTTCAATTGCTTTTGTAATGAAAATAATCCTATTATATTTGCTGAAGTGTGTAGAGAAGGAATATACTGATGTTTGCAATTACCTTTGAAATACAGGTATTTCAAATTTATGTAAACAATGGGATGGGCTAATAGATGGATAGAGGATTAGATAAATGAACATGTGATAAAGCAAAAGTATTCATTGTAGAATTGAGATGACAAGACAGATAGATGGGTGTTCATGGTGCAAGTCTTTCAAATTTCTGATTGTTCAAAAATGTTCATAATAAAATTTGGGGGTGGAAACCTTACTGTTTATTCAGTGCACAATTCTCGAATGCCTATTATGTGTCAGACATGCACTGTAAGTTTCTTGAATTCATGTCCAAGCTGCTGCAATGGCATTTAAATGGCATCACAGGACATTGTTGTGACCCCCTGCTGATTCATACTGCCGGTTACACCACAGGCCCCTTGCCTCCTAGAAAACCAGGACTCAGCAGCAGAGCCGCCTACCTTTGGATGTGGTGTCCCCGTATTGGACAGTCCAGTGCCTCAAGGGAAGAATGGGTCAGAGTGTCAAAGAATCTGTATTTGCCCAAGTTCCAGGAGAAAACAAGGAACATCCTCAAAACAGTCAACTGGAGAGAGTTTGCTGAAGGCACTAAATTCAGAGATGTGGTAGAACTAGGAGGCAGCTGGGGATGGAAACGCACCCTGGGGAGCCATTACCACCCCTAGGTCTACAGGGCTGGGAAAGGGTAAGGTTTCTAGAGCTCAGCCAATGGAAGCCATGGGCATAGGAAACAGACACTGCCCAGGATGCAGGAAAGGGGGCACAGAGCGCTTAATGATCCCGCTTCTCTCTTTTCCCACACTCCCTTCTTCTGCTAGTGCCTTCCGTCACTGAACCTCACAGGAATCAGAAAGCAGGAGTGGCCAAGTGACAGTGCCTTTGGAGGTCAGCATTCCAGAGAGCAAGCTGGACAGAGCATGAATCTGGGGACAGAGGAGGATCAGGGATACGTAGTCAGAAAAAAATAAAAAATGTAAGGACAATAATCTTACAACTGGCCGAGACTTATATCAAACTAATCTTATAATTCATCAACCAATACAAGTTATTTTAAAAAATGGCTGGGCATGGTAGCTCACACCTGTAATCCTAGGACTTTGGGAGGTCAAGGTGGGCAGATCACTTAAGGTCAGGAATATCAGACCAGCCTGGCCAACATGGCAAAACCCCATCTCTACTAAAAAGAAAAAATTAACCTGGCGTGGTGGCACATGCCTGTAACTGCAGCTACTCGGGAGGCTGAGGCAGGAAAATCACTTGAACCTGGGAGGCGGAGGTTGCAGTAAGCTGAGATCACACCACTGTACTCCAGCCTGGGCAACAGAGCAAGACTCCATGTCAAAATAATAAAAAAAAAAGAAAAGAAAAGAGGCTATTATTAATCATTACACCAAGTCTACAGGCAAACCCAGAACTGCATGGCTACTCAACTTTTCTCATCTATTTCAATGCAAACAGTTACCCCCAGTTTGCAAATGGGGAAACTAAAGAGGCCTGCACAGGTCAAGGGCAGAGGTGGAAAAAGTCACGACTGCTGACACCCAGCCTGGGACTCTTGATTCCTCACCATTCGGTCACAATGATCAAGCTTAGCAAAACATTGCAATATGCTCACGTGACTCTGGGGAAAGGACAGCTCATCTGCCTGTCCCAAGAAGCATGTGGTTTGAAGCTCCATTCTTTTCTCATTTTTTTCTTCCTGCTTTTTGTGGTCAAATACTGGGCTGGCTAGAGGGGAAGCACTCGGGTGTCAGTGGGGTTTCACTGCTATTTCATTACATAAGTGAAAGCCTGCAACCGGGAATGAAATGCAAAACAGGGCCATCTGACAAGCTCCTTGGCTCTTCCCAGAGGGGCTGCAGGGCTGCCTCAGTCACCCCTGTGGTGCCTTCCTATCTCTGGGGACAAGCTGTTGAGACTTCTGGGAAATACCCGTTCAGTGAATTCCTCATCCAACAACTATTACTTGAGCATTTTTTAAGTCCCAGGCACTATGCTATATAAGGATGATGAGAAAGACATGGTCACCGTGCTCATTAAGATCCCATTATGGAAGATAATAGGACATTATGGGTGTTGGTTAATAGACATATATATATATACACAAATAAATCAATTACAGACCACAGTTAGCACTAGAAAGGAACTAGAGTGCTCTGACAAACAGTCATAATGACCAACTATTAATGTCATCCTTTCTCCACAACTGCTCTGTGAGGAACATACAATTATTACTTCCATCTTACAGAAGTGGGAACGGAGGCAGAGAAGTCAGGTGATTGCCCAAGGTCAACTCGCTGGTATGTGTCGGAGCTGAACTTGAACCCGTGAGTGGTGTTTCAGAGCCTGGGTCTTAAGTATATGTTCCCCAACCACTGTCTATGTTGGGGAGCACATACTTAGGCAGGTATGGAAGGCCTTTCCAAGGAGGGGGCAGAAGAATCTTCTAGGCAGAAAAGGGAGGTGGGTCAATGAACAAAGTGGAAAAGGAGCCTGGGGTGCTCGGTAATCTGTCAGAAGGCCTGGGAGATTGGGGCAGGGGTTGGATTTTATGCTAGGCGCACTTTACAAAGTGTCTTTGCAGACATACATTTTCCTATGTTACCATCAGAGAACCTGGTCACGCCAAGTGGCCATGTATTATCCATGTTTTACAGAACAGCATACGTTGTTTTTGGGAACTCAGGACAAAGGTGAGTGAGACTTTGTCCTGAGTTCCCTTTGTCCTGAGGCCCCTGTGACTTTGGACTCATGTCCAGTGCTCCCTCTATGTGACCTCTGCTAAGGAACAAGCCGCCTCTATGATTCTTTAAGTACCACGCACCATGGTAATGCCAGCTCATCTTGTTCCGTTCTCTGCCTTCTCCTCCCACCCCAGAATTCACCTCTCCAGCTGCCTCAACAACCTCATTTCTAGGGGAATCTGATAAAAAAATTTGTGCTCATTTGCTAATAGGTAATAAAACCCTTTTGGAAACCTAGAGAAAACTGGTCTTTAGATTCCTGGGAGAACTTACAACAGCCTTTCCATTTTCCCAGTCATAAGATCAGCCTTAAGCTATTAGACATTTCCTTCCCTGCCAAAGAGGAAGTCATTCATATATTAATGGCCTATTCCCAGAGGAATCTAGCCCAAGTTTGAGCCCAGGGCCTTCTGGTTAACAGGTGGCAGTTTGCAGATGCCAGTAAACTAACCATTGTTCAAAGCAGCTAATTCTTTGCCTGTGAATATGATCTCATCAGCCTTGGAAACCAGCCCAGGAGATCAGAGCAGCAGGCCCCGCACCCCTAGGGCTCTCAGCCCCTCAGCATGGCCCCAAACACTGCCTTCCTCTCCACCTTAACTTGTACCATGTCCTACCTTAACCTTGGGGCCTAGACGCCCCAGACCCTTCACAGGTCCCAGAGTACACCATGTGACAGACTTCCCCACCTCCTTCCCAGGTTGTCTCCTTTACACCTGTGAAACACAACCCAGAGACGCCTCCCCCAGGAAGCCTTCCCTGACCATCCTGCCTCTTCTTGGTGCTTCCATAATCATAATTCTCTGAGTGCCCAGGATATACTGCACACTCTGTTATATACTCCCCAGGGATTATCTCAATCTGATAGCAATTCAGAGACACAGAATCTCTCATCCTACTGTTTTATCATTGAAGAAACCGAATCACAAGGCTATATCATGGCTGGGCAGGGAGTGCTGGAGAGGGAATACAAACCCAGGATCATCACCATCTGCCATGCTTACCAGCATGACTCACATTTATTGAGCACTTACAGCATACCTCCCATAGCCCTAAGCCCTTGACATACATTTTCTCATTGAATCTTCACAGTAATCCTACAGTTTAGTCACTATGAAGTATGTATTATTATTATATCTATTCTGAAGAGGAGAAAGGTTTTAATTATTTAGCTAAATCACATATGCAGCAGAGAATTTGTGATTTATTCTCCACAGCACACTGAAATTGCCCAGATTTGCTGACACTGCTAGTAATTTACCCAACATTCGTTCTTCTCCTCTTTCGTAATAACGAAGACTATATTGTTAGAGATGACAGTGTGCCCAGATTAAAAAAGAAAAAGTAAAGGCTAACCAAATTATCTCCTATCCACCTTTGCAGATAGGGTAGGCAATGAAACATAAGTCAACATTATGGGATGGGGACCCTAGAAAAGTGATTTAAAGAGGGTGTACCCTGACCAGTATTGTGGCTCACACCTGTAATCCCAACACTTTGAGAGACCAAGGCAGGCAGATCACCTCAGGTCAGGGGTTCGAGACCAGCCTGCCCAATATGGAGAAACCCTGTCTCTACTATAAATACAAAAAATTAGCTAGGCATGGTGGCAGGCGCCTGTAACCCCAGCTACTCAGGAGGCTGAGGCAGGAGAACTGCTTAGACCTGGGAGGTGGAGGCTGCAGTGAGCTGAGATTGCCTCATTGCACTCCAGCCTGGGCAAGAGGGTGAGATTCTGTCTCTAAGTAAATAAAGAGGGTGTACTCTGCTAACATCATTTTGCATTTACCCCTTTCTCCCTCCTCCTGCTTGAGACATGCAGTGTGAATTTCCAACAAGTGTCTTATGACCATGAAGCAATCCTACTAAACACTGCCAAGTAGAAAAATTGAAGAAACTTGGGTTCTTGGTGACATCACAGAGCTCCCAAACCAGCCCTGGGCCACCCCTGCTCCAAATTTCAAGAAATTTGAAAGAAAAAGAGACTCTTGTTTAAATCTCTGTTGTTTTGATTCTCTATTACTTGAAGCCAAATGCAATTCCTCACTCATTTACTTTGCTATGTGTCTGATGACCTGTACCCTCAGCTGTGAGGTCCTCAAGACTGAATATGCTGTTTTCTTGGTCTTGGTACCAGTCCCCTAGCACAGCACCCGCTCAAATCAACCCCTTTTTGCCATTCTATTCCCTCTACTCCTGCCTGGGCAAAAGAGGTCATGTTAGGAAAACAGACATCTCCCCTTACAGAGGGTGAGAGGTTACAACGCCAAATTAAGGGAAGAATGAAGAAAAGCGTGAAGGGAAAGAAGGTGAATTCCATCTGTGAACCAGGGGACTGGGAAGAGCCCATGCTGGTTGAGTGCCAGAGGTCCACTTGGTCTTCTGTCTCAAGCCACAGTGATGTCATTTCCATACCTAGGAAACCCAAGGTCAGGAGCCAAATCAAACCTGGAGAGTGGAGTCAGCAGAGTACCTGAGCCAGAGCTCACTGTCAGTTTATGCAAAACAGCCAGCATCCCAAGCGTTGCAGCAATCTGAGGCACTCTGGGGATGGCCTGCTGCCCACTGTCTCCACCAAACCTGAAGTCCATCTGCAGGCAGCATTTCACAGGTGAAATGCTATGGCACACTGTGGCCCCGGGACGAGTGCACTGGCTATTAGGGAAGTCAGCTTCTCAGAGGCTGTTTTCTCATCTGCACAGTGGAAATAATACTGCCTTCCCCTGCTTCTTTTTTTATTAGTATTTTTATTTATTTACTTTTTATTTTAAGGTGGAGTCTCACTCTGTCATCCAGGCTGGAGTGCAGTGGCACGATCTCGGCTCACTGCAACCTCAGTCTCCCGGGTTCAAGTGATTCTCCTGCCTCAGCTTCCCAAGTAGCTGGCATTACAGATGCACACCACCATGCCTGGCTATTTTTTTTTAGTAGAGACGTGGTTTCACCATGTTGGGCAGGCTGGTCTCGAACTCCTGACCTCACGTGATCCACCCGCCTCGGCCTCCCAAAGTGCTGGGATTCCAGGCATGAGCCACCACACCTGGCCCTTCCCCTGCTTTCATACAGGAGCTAGGAAGAGGGTCAAGTATAACAATGGACAGGAAAGCCCTTTATAAACACTGAAATTTTACACAAATCCAAGGTAATGAGTGTATATTTGTTTTTCTGAGGTGGCCTCTGCATCCACAATTATAAGTTCCAGATCCCGAATACTACATTCATTATAATCTTTTTCTACACTCAAGTGTAAGCTGCTGGTAACAGTTTTTTTCTGAAATGGAAAAGGTGGGCATAGGGTAGAATTCCATAGCAGTGAAAAGAAAAAGCCAAGAGAATGGAAGACAGATGCATGAGGAGACCATGCTGTTTCCATAATGTGTAGCCCTGGGATGGCGGAAGGTGGGAACTGAGATGCGCTGGTTTTTTTGCTTGTTTCTGGCTCCTCTGGAGATGGAATAATCAGGCTATAGGTGATCTTCCTTAGCTTAGATACTTATAAGACATTAACTTAATTTCTTCTTTATCTTTTTCTTTTTTTTTTGAGACAGAGTCTTGCTCTGTCACCCAGGCTGAAGTGCAGTGGCATGACCTCGGCTTGCTGCAATCTCCGCCTCCCGGGTTCAAGTGATTCTCCTGCCTCAGGCTCCCTAGTAGCTGAGATTACAGGCACTCACCACCACACCCAGCTAATTTTTTTTTTTTAGGCTGGCCTTGAACTCCTGACTTCGTGATCCACCCGCCTAGGCCTCCCAAAGTGCTGGGA